TTACTACTTTAAAACTTTGTTTTAAAAATTTATATGACATTTAAAAAGAACAAAAAATGATTAAAAAATATTTTTAATACTGATAAATATTAAAGATATTTTACAAAAATTTTATATGGCCAGGTGTATGCTGTATAACTATTTTATTATATTTCACGTCAAAAGCAGATAAATAAATGTTAAAAATAAATATTCAAAGACAAAAGAAAATGGAACATTTTACTTTACCACTATATCTTTTCACAAACATTTTTTATTTTTTCATTAATTATCATTTTTAATTTTATTTAAAAAATAAGAGGTAATCTAATCGAAATTTAATTTAGTAGATATATTAACAGAATTCCATATAATTCTCATTTATCTAAATTTTGATATTTTATAATACCTACTTTTATTAGTGTATGGGTAAAAATCAAAAAATCGACAATATGTACCTAACTTTTTAAGGTACCGTCCCATGACGGCGTAAAAGCGTTGGCGTAAAGCAGAAATCGTGCGATAGAAAGTGATGAATAGATATCAGGTTCTCACTCACTCACATGGTTTACGCTTTACGCCGACGCTTTCACGCCATCATGGGACAGAAATTCTTGAAATTTTGAGGTGTTTTTTCTTTTGATATAAATAAATAAGTACAAAAAATTTCAGAATTTTTCACTGCATAGTTTAAAAGTTATAAAATTATAAATTTAACACACACTGCAAAAACTAGCGTCTTCGAACGTCTTATTTTAAGACATTAGACGTTTTGAAAACGTCTAGTCTGGAATAAATGACTAATTCATCTGTCTTTCATGCAAAGTGTCTAAAAATTTGAGACACTTCTTGCGTCTTACAAATGTAAACAAGTCACTTTCAGTGCTTATAATTTAAGACATATAGAAGGAGTTTACACCGTAAGCCTTAAATATAAGCCTCCGCGAGCATAAACGGATATGCCTCCATGAGGATATACTTGCGTCTGCGCAAAGTGTTTGCCTGCAGCTGTGTTGTGAAAGAGTTTGCCTTGACCACGTGTTCGCGCAGGCGCAAATATATGCTCCTGGAGGTATATCCGTTTATGCGCGCGGAGGCTTATATTTAAGGCTTACGGTGTAAACTCCTTCATAATGTAGACGGTAAAAGTGTCTATATTTAAGTCATTTTTGCTAATTTAAGACGTTTTCGAAGTAAGACACTTTGAATAAAAGACATTTTGTGTATTCGAGTATCTTCGGTAATATTCGTCTTGCCTCGTCTCGATGAAAGTTTCCCGCGCAATATCAATGCATACATGCATTTTTAGGTTATGTATCGATTCAAGCAGTAAATTTCATCTGAATGAAGACACTTTAAACGTCTCCAAAATAGTCACATTTAACGTCTTCCTAAAAGACATCCCAAAACGTCTTAGGGTGCAATCTTATTACAGCAGAATACGTCGACCGAAAACAGAAAATCATGAGTGCGAAAGAGATAGATAGATATTGTTGTTCTTTTCACTCTCATGATTTTCTGCTTTCGGTCGACGTATTCTGCATACATGGGATCGCACCCTTACAAATGAGGACAAAAGTGTCTCAAATATAGACACCTGTTTTTGCAGTGCAGTCTCTTATGGAGAAACCAACAAATTGGATCTTCACAAACGAAAAAATACTGTTTAAAAATCTTAACTTTTTTTAATATAAATATATATGAAAGCTAAAGATGCCAGTTTTAATAAATAATTAATTTTGTGTGTCTTCACAAGCTAGTTTAACAGAAAATAATAAAAATACGAAAAGAAACACAAGAGTCCGTCTGCTGTCGAGCTCCCACAGTTGGATGTTGTGGCTCCTGGTCGCTTTGAACGGCTTGGGGATAAAACGTAAATTCTTACAAATTGTTAAGAACGCACTCTCCAAAACCGCCACGCCATCCTGGATGTCACGACTGACGTTCTTTTGATCCCGGGAATAGCCAGGAACTGATTTGCGACATTTGATTCGTAGCATGTCAGCTGGCTATCTATTTGGCTCCCTCCAAAATCCTTGGAGCCATCTGCACTGACTATCGGAGCTTGCACCCGATCAGAATCGGTGGTGGGATTACCCTCTTTCGAGGTACCCACTTGGAGTATTTCATTTAAAATTTTGTCCATGTCATTCGTTTTTTTTTATTTCTTTGTCCTGTGTCGAGGGACAATCGGGCCTTAACAGGGTACTACCATCTGGCCAGGATGGGCCCTGAACCGCCTCCGTTAGTTACATAGACGTTATAGCATTGCCGGAGCATTGATCCAAGGGCACGTGAACATGTATGTTTGGACGTGGAGGTCGATGTGTCTCTCCAAGATAGCAGGAATTAGTAGGAGTTATTAGTCACAGGTGCCTTGACTATGGCCATATAGGCAGAGATTGCCAAGCGGTAGATAGGTCGGCTGCGTGCTTTAAGTGCGGAGAAGCCGGCCATAAGGCAGCAGATTGTAAGAAGAGCCCATGCTGCTTCTTATGCCAGGCGAAGTTCGGCGATAAGGAGAATATCCTTCATGTCGCTGGATCAGGAAGATGCAAAGTCTTCAGAACTGCCCTAGAGGAAGCCAAGAAGAATTAGTCAAGGACAAGAATGAAATAAGGCCAGAACAAGAGCGGTACGGAAGAGAGTCGCGTCATCGACTAAATAGGACCATTCATCTACAATTTTTTTATAATAAATATTTTATAAAACTATGTATTACAAAATATTGCGGTCCATATTTAAAGGATCAATAAAAAGGGGATCGACGTGATTTCTATTGATGCTAAATTTGTTTCTGCTGTTCAAATCATTATAGTCAGCGACACTGATGATATCGCTGTTGTTATCTTCATTATCCTTATCATTGCCATTTACAATGTTTCTGTCAGCTTCACTACTATTTTGATATTCATCGTCGCTGTCAATATAACTGTAATTATCATCTGTCTTAGTTATCTTATCAGTATTATCTCATCAGTTATCTCATTAGTTATCTCATCAGTTATCACACCAGTTCCTATATCGGTATTAGTAACATTGTTAATTCAATTTCGTATGCTGAAATAGTATATTTTCTTTGACAGAAATGGTACAAGTTGTAATACATGAACTTGTACAGGAAAATGTGCAAGATCTTGTACTAGGATTTTCAGTAGGGGGAGTCACATTTCTTCTTAATAGAACAATAAATTTCCCAAGTTTTAATTTTTTCAAGAAGTTAAAATTTCAAATTGGGACATTTCACGTAAAATGCCTCAAATCCATGATGTTAGTCAAATCTGGCAGAGCATAAGCATCCTCTAAATATCCTAGCACATCGATGATGTTCGGCAGTGGACAACCAGTGGCGGAGATATTATATTATACTATTTTTCATATAAAATCATACACGAACAGTGCAAACAATATTGCCAAATTTACAACAATAGTAAAAAAAAAATCTTCTTCGCTATGGTATGTTTTATAAACATTGCTCGGAACAGTGTTGTTTATATTGTCTTAAGGAATAAGTATCTATTATAATAAACCTCAGAAATGGAATCGTTTATAACAAATTCTTGAGATGGTAGTTTTCCACCAAGTCAATGATTTAAAAATTAAGAATAATAAGCAATTTTACTGCAAGATAGAAAAGTCTTCTTCGGCGGAAGTGAAATAAAAAAATAGCATAATTATTATATTTATGTTGACGTTGATTTTATAACAAAGAGTTCTCTTACAAAATATGTGTAACTATTTTGTTCCGCCTAGAAATTATATTAACGTTGGCCTAAAACTTGAGAACAATCAGATTAATATGTAAAATAAGTTTCTTTTTTTTAACAAAGGATGCTTAAAGTTATGCTCATACAATATACATTTTCATATGCAAACTCTGTTCCTCAAAAAGTTGTACGACAAAAATAATTTTGTTTACTTATACCCACAATTTCTTTTGACCATGCACAAAACTTAAATTAAAATCTATTTTTGAGGATAAGGTTCAAAATTTATTGAATCTTTCAAACTGCCACATCAATAAAGCATATTGCTAATGAACGTGGCATTCTAACTTTATCCTTTTCTAAAACTGACATTAAATTTTTTCAAATTTAACAATTTACTTTTTCCTCTATTTGAAATAAATATATTTTTTGTAATAAGTTAGAATTCTTTTTTGCATCTAACTATATAGATTTTTCTGTAAAGAGAATTTATATGTATTTAAATTCAAAAACTTTCAAATAAAAGGAACAGAAATCTGACAAAGACTACTATGGTTCGACTGCTTTGCAACTCTATCCGGAAATAAAGTTTCAATTTTCCTGAAATAAGATTTCTAATATTAATTAAATTCGAAAGTCGAGTCAAAAGGGAAGTGTATCTAGCTTTGTTGGTATGATTTTATGATTGACATAAAAAAAATTTGAATACAATTTTACTATAATATATTTCTATAAATTTTAATAAGTGAAAAATCACTTAGAACAAGTCAATTTTAACTTTATTGAATTGGGACGTCGTTTCTTGAATTCGAGAAAGCGAACTTTTTTGATCGTTAGTTCTCTGTTCTGATATCACACAAAGAAACTAAAAAGTATATTATTTTAAAAAAAAGGATACTGGTATACTAAGAAATTATCGAGTATAATTACGTTGAAGAAATTTGTAGTAATGCATGTCTTAGAATGTTGAAAGGTGACATAAACAGGGACCAATTAATAATAGAACCTAGCGTGACGACAATGAATAAGGCACGGTTGGTTTATTTGTGACACTTTTATTTTCACCTAAGTTCATTATTTTGTCATACGTAACATATGCAGGGACAAATTCATTCTTTATATTGAAGTTTTTTATTTTAATTTTATTTTTTAGTAAAAAATAAAACTCATGTACACTGTAATTAAAAGGTTCTAAATTAGAGCTGATTTTCGGTATTAAAATAAAACCAAATGACGATTTAGAACCAAAATTGGTAATAAATTAATACCTTTATTTTTACAGTGTAGTTCTATTATGGAAATACACATCGATGACTCCGAACGACACAATCTCAACTCTGGCGCGTGCTGGTATTCTGTAGTAACTCAAGACGTTCGTGAAAACTGTCTTCTGTTGACTAACAATTGTAAGTCAAAACATTTTTACTGGTCCCAGACTATTGCTAGAACAATTCCAATTAGTATCTGGGTCAACAAAATTAATTCAATTCACAATTCATAAAAAGTAACCAGAGCTGATAATCAGCAGAAGATGAAAAATTAATTTTTGATCGAACTTTATCTTCTGTTTACTAACAATTATAAGTCAAGAAAAAAAATTTCGCCTACTGCATACATAAGCGCAAATTTAATTTAAATTTTCAGGAAACTTTTACCCTACATTTTTGTTTACATAAGAGAGAAGTCGAAAATTTAATTTAAATGTTCAGGAATGTTTTAAGCTAAATTTTTAGGAAAATTTGACGATAAACATTTATTGAGGTGGGACATTTAAATCTTTACACATATTTCACTAAACTTTGCAAGTAAATTTTTCGAAGTTTGCAAGTAAATTTTTGATAAATTTTTAGAAAAGTTTCTGTGCTGTTTTGGCAGTAAGAGTGTAAATGAAAAAATGTTAGTTTTAGTTTTGGTGAAAGTGTGAAACTGAGAGTGATTAACAATTGTTTAAATTTTTTAAATTATGATTTAAAAAAGTGCGACTCTCTGGTAATATTCGAGAACTATCTTCTTAGATTTTATATAATTTTATACTTATGACATAAAAATAAAAATTTTGTGTTATATTTTTAAAAAAATTTTGGTAAAAATAATTAGAATAGAATAGAAATTAAATAATATAATAACATGCAATTATTGTCAAATTTTGAATTTAGAAAAGTTAAATAAAGACGCAGTGAAGAAATCTTTACATAATACGGAAAATGTAGTAATCAAACTTTCGAAAGCGGAAGGTAAAACTTTTTTGGTGCTTCAAAAAGATTATGAGTTTACAAAGCGTCATAAACCCGTAATTGTCAAATTTACAATAACTTATCTAATTCACTTGAAAAATTGGTCAATAATAATTATTGCTTAACGATGAGCCTGTGTCGACTATTGCGTCCCTGTGAAATAAATATATGTGACAGGACCTCATGTGTGACCACAACTATAAAGAGTGAGGCATGAAAATTAGAGAGGCACATTAGTTCCATCTTTTTTGAGTTCAACATACAATTATTTTTGTGAATGAAAGAATTTCACTTTTAAACAACAAAGTGTGCTCTTTTAATCAATAGACAAATATTTGCAATAAAGAATGTGTTATACGTTTGATTCTGCTTTTTAAATACTTTTAAAGAAATTAATTCAAAATTAAAAAAACTTCCAAATAGCTTTTCTTAAAAAAAATTTTAATTTTTTAATTTGTTAAATTTTTAGGACAATTATAAGCAATAATTTATTTAAAATTGAAAAAATTTACAAATGACTTAAAAAATTCGCTAAAACCAACAATTTAAGAAATGAATAAAAAGTATTTCATTTCCGTTTTGGTCGTTTCGATCGGGGTGAGCTGTTCCGCTTGGTCTCAAGAGGATAAGCGATATTCTGATACACGAACGGCGTCAACAATTGTTGAAGATAAAGTGGCTATTCGAGATTCAGATGAAGTTAAAGTCACGTCTAAACCTCTTCAAGTTAAAAGCGATGATGTTTCCGACAGTGATATTAGAAATCAAAAGACATTGAGACCCTCCTCTGGATATCCGGTCGAAATTAAAGATAAGTTACAATATATTTTATTTCAAATAATATCAAATTTGCCATCGTATTAATTTTTATTATACATCCCTAAATATACTGCAAAAGGTTAACTGCAAAAATAATTGTTTCCTTTTTAAAATTTTTTGCTTTAGCTATACGTTCCTATTTATGAGACCCTTTCGATTTCCTAAGTTAACTGTTATTTATGATTCGTTTACGAAAAAGGAAAATAGTCAACTTTGTTAAAATTGCTGGATAAATCTAAATCTTCATGATACATGGTTTTATAATTCAAAATTAGAGGGGAGGTCAAAATTTTGAAAAAAAAACCATCCTCACGTGATTAATGAGTAGCTCCTTAGTTCATTTTTTAGTATTTTTAGTAGATTTTTCAAGAGTGTCCACAACCGAACAAACATTTTCTTTTTTTAGAAAGATGATCACTTTATTAAATTTTTCAATTCAACGGAATCAATTCCGTTTTTTCGCCAGCAGTTATCTAAGGTTCTTAGCTTTAAATACATATGCATATGTTCGCTTAATATTTATTTGAACACAAGTTATGAATCAAAACCAAAAGGGTGCCCACAACCGAATTTTCCTTACAAAAATTTTATTTGAAGTTTGGCGATATTTTTGAACAATATAAAAAACAATAACAAAAATTCGCATTAGGTATTTCTAATAGTACAAGAACCGCTCTTTAACGAACACCGTTAATTTAAAAATGAACAAATTGCAGTTAGTTAATTAAAAGAATATGTGGATTTTTAAGATTTTTTTAAATACCGTATTCTTTTAGACAATTTAAAATTTTTAAATATTACTGAAAGCAACAAATATCGCGGCAAAAATATTTAAGCATTAACAAGGTAACATAGATTTAGATTTAATTAAAAAAGCTAAGTGACGTCACTAAAATGTTAATCAAAGTTGAATTTTAAATAACAAACATGCACCTAGTTTCAAAAAAATTAAAAAACTTTACGGATTCACTAAAAAATTGTTACTCGGGATTTTTGAGGTCGTTGATTGCGAATCCTACATATATAACGTTTTTTTAAAAATCCAGAATACTTGGGGGTTTTCGAGGTCGCTAATTTTTTATTCTTAAAAAAACTTAATTTAACCAAGTTGCGTACATTTGACCTTTGAGTGGTAAAACTTGAATGAACAGTGAAAAAAAATTGTTTTGCTTTTAATTTTTTTTCTCTTGCGTATAATTTAATTTTATTTCTTGAGTCTTGTAGATAGTCTTGTCCTCTTCAATTCCCATTTGAAATTTGTAAAAAGCTTTAAAATTAATAAAATAGGGGATGATTTTTCGAAAATAAACAAGATCAATTTTCTCAAAAACTCCACTTTTTTATGATTAAATTTTTACAACAAATTCTTAAAATAATGATGAACAATTCCTGTGAGTTGCAAGCGGACTAAACCATTCTGTCATTCTGCAGAGTTTCTACTGGTTCTGGAATTCCTGGAAATGTCCTGGAATTTGTAAAAATGTCCTGAAATATCCTTAAATGTCCTGAATTTTTAATTTTTGTTCTTGAATTTTTCTAATTTTGCTTTAAATATTCAATAATTAACAAATTTTACTCAAACTCAAAAAAATAATTTTTTTGATCTATCAAAAAATAATTTCAATTTGTCATTTGATTAAAGAAATAGGTATCTACAATATAGATTTATAACTCTTGATGTGTTAAAATAAATATTTTTGTTCAAGTATGTTAATTTAAATTATGCTAATCGTAATATAAAATAATATTTTCCATTTTCATGTCCTGGAAAAATAAAGAATCTGTCCTGGCATGTCCTGAAAATGTCCTGGAATTTAAAATCATATTTGCAATAGACACCCTGTTCAGGAGATTTTTTTTTTTGAAATATTTATTTTCAGAAAATTTTAAATTGTTGACGTGCATTTTCTAGAACAAATTAATTATTATAACATTTTATTTAGGTATTCTCGGAAGTTTACGTTAATAATGTTCTAACGAGTCATTTGTTCTTAAAAATGCACGTCAACAATTTAAAATTTCGTAAAAATAATTTCAAAAAAAAAATTCTCCTGAATGCCGCAGAACGGTTTAGCCCACTTGAAACTCACAGGAATTGTTCATCATTATTTTAAGAATTTGTTGTAAAAATTTCATCATAAAAAAAGTGTGGTTTTTGAGAAAATTGATCTTTATTATTTTCAGAAAATCATGCCCTATTTTGTTAATTTTACAGATTTTTACAAATTTTAAACGGGATTTTGAATAGGACAAGACCATCTACAAGACCCAAGAAAGAAAATTAAATTATACTCAAGAGATAAAAAATTGCAAGCAAAAGAATTTGTTTCACTGTTCATTCAAGTTTTACCACTCAAAGTTCAAATGTGCGTAACTTCGTTAAATTTAGTTCTTTTGAAAAATAAAAAAATACGTATCTCTTTGTTTTTCATGCGAAGAATGACATATTTTAGCGACGGTAAATCTATAACTTGAAGTTATAGTCGACTTGCCTAATTTGAAACCGATTCAGTCACATATTGGATCCGCTTATTAAATTTTTAAATTGTAATAGCAAATTCGCAATCAGTGATCATAAAAACTCCCATGAGACAAGGTTCAAGCAATTCTGATGAATTTTCAAAATTTGGTCGCCATATTGGATCCGCCATTTTGAATTTTATTTCTCTTAAAAATTAATCATTTATCTGCTTAATCTCTTATTATAAAATTTTAATTTGTAATCGATTTATTCCCATTGTTTAAACAGATAAGAAATTAATATGATTTTCAGAAATTTAAGATACAACAATTTAATATATAACTTTTTTTACAAGACCTGGATGTTGTGGCCCTAACAATGGCCCTGTACGGTCTGAAGGTGTTAGGAAAAGTAGCTCAGACAATGAACGAGATAAACATCCCCGATATGGGCCATATCTAGATGAAGGGTAATTATAAATTGTCCGCACATACATTTTAAATCCTTCTACGAAAATAAGTTTAAAACTTTCAGGGGTTACGCAACCCTAAGTACCTGAAAATTTGGTGGTTTTTCCAACATTTATTCTTGACTTGTGTCATTGTAGTACTTTTCAATTTCTTTAAAAAATACATTTTTAGTTAATGTGTTTTAGAAATATGGAATAATTTGCAGTAATGTAAGAATGGTGTCAACATAATTATGAATTTCCTTTCCTCTTCTTGAAGTATATATTTTTAATCGTGATTTACAATTCAAACTTACATTTAGTTTCGCTGCATGATTTGAAAAGCAATTATTCAATTAAAGAAAAGTTTCATTTTTTAAAAAAGGTTTTATCTAGACATTTGTAATATACTACAATTTTATATGGACATATTGAATGTGCCCACAGTTTCTACAAAATCAGTATATCAATACAATTTATTTAAGTTTTAAAGTGTAATTATTTGTTAACTTTTATTTGTTAACTATTTGTTAACTTTTTAAATTTCTTTTTGAATGTCCATTTTAAAATTACTTTTTACTTTTTATATATTTAAAAAATTTTTAATTGGTACATGTTAACAGAAGATTTAGTTGGCAAAGTTCAAATCATCCTTCCGGATATGGAGATAATGGCGATAGACCATCAGGAAGCTACAGAGGACCTTACGCTGGAAGTGAATCAAATTCAGAGAGGTAATTTTTTTAAGCCAATGATTATATTGGACCCCTATTTTTAAAAAAGATTATTTTAACACTATTCAACTAATAAAGAAAAATTGATCCCAGGTTTCAGAGACCACCGTACGGTAGTGAAAGTAATAAAGCAAATTTAAATTTTGAAGGACTGTCTAATAAATTTAGTGGCAAATTTGGTGCACTAGGCAATAAATTTGGATTTGGTAATAAATTCGCCAGTTTGGGAGATAAATTTGGAGGTGGTAATAAATTTGGTTATTATGGCGATGGTGAATATGGAAGGCCTGGTTATTCCGATGGTCCTGAACTAGGAAATCAAGAGTCGGGATATGGAGAGAATACTCCTCAACCGCCAGCAAATTTTGCCACTCAACAGGTAGATTTAAATAATAAAGATTCTATTAACAAAAATGCAAGTGAGAAAGAAGAGGAAAATATTAATTTTAATCCCACGAAAAATAGTGATTTTCAAAATAAGACAATTGTGGAAAATTTAGAAACTATAGACAAGATGGGGGCAAATATTTTTAGTCAAGAGAGTTTTAATTTTGACAATAAAAATACAGATTGGCCTATTAGATTTAGCTTCAATAAAATAAAATTCAAATTTAAAATAAAAGGGAAAAAGTAAAAAAGTATTTCAATTGTTGACTAGTTTAGATATAAAAGTAGTTTTAACTGAGAGATTTTATTCCTAAGAGTGTTAAAAAAATTGTTGCAATAAAGAAGACGTTATTATTTAATTAAATAATTGACTTTTATTGCTATCATTTAGCTTACAGTTTTTTTTTACTTTTAATAAAATAAATCGTTCTGAATTTCAATTGTTGTCAAATGGTAATTAAAGTTATTAAATTAATTTTTTTTTACAGGCGGTTGCTTTAAAAGCACTTGCTGGGGTTGCTTTGATTGGTGCTGCAGCAGCTTTAGCAACAAATCCCGTCCTTCTGCCTTTAAGCGCAATTACAGGTCGAAGGAAACGCGATCTTGACGATCGTTTGAATAAAGATCTTTCAAATTTTCCCTTGAAAATATTGCAGAATTACGCGACAAAGGTACAGAAAAGAAAAATTTCCATCAGCTAAAAAATTAAAAGCAAAATTCATTAAAATAAAATATTTTAAAAAGTCCAATAAATTAGTAGACTTTGATTGTCTTACTAGTGAATTAATTTTAAATTTATTTATAAAAGTAAATAGATATAAACATTATTTATTTAACTTTTTTATTTTTCTCAATATAAAATATTTGGAAAATTTATTATAATAAACTCTTACCGTTACTCTATTTGAATACAAAGTGATTAGAATAAAAATAAGTGCGTTGATTTCATAAAAATTAAATATTTCATAAAATATCTTTCATAAAATAATTAGATTCCTGGAAATATTAATGGACCTGATTTTTCAATTACTCCACAATGTGTTGCTCGATTGGCTTGTGAGATACAAAAAGATTATATCACAGACTTAAAAAAACACGAAGATACCTTAAAAGAAAGCAAAAGTTCATTTCATGATTTGGAGCGTTGGTTCATGAGCCTGTATGTAAATTATTATTATTTTTTAACAATAGTATTTATTTATGCGATATTTAAAAATTATTTATTTAACATAAAAGATTTGTTTTTGAATTTCTACTTAAAATTCTATATATGTTAAAAATTAAAAACTTTATATTTAATATGTATAATTGTATTTATAGTATTAAAACCTTAAATATTAAGCTTTTATATAATCTAACATTTTTATTTTGAATTTTTTGTGAAAAATACATAATTTTTTTATTTTTGTCTTTAGTATCCAGAAAAATATTCTTGATGCTGACTACGTCGATGGAAATTTGAAAAAGTTAATCAAAGTGGCCACCCTAGTTGGCTCAGAAGGACGGGATTGTGCAGTATTTATATGCAGCAATTTAAAAACTTAGAAATTACATATTCAAAATCCATTTTAGAGATTTCTTTTTCTATTTTTTTATCCTACATATGTAAGAAGTTAATTTTGTTTTTACTTTTTATGTAATTTTTCGTATCATTGATATTATGTACATTACTTGTCATTTTAAAACTATATTATACATATTATAAATTTAATAAAACAATTTTTCATTTTTAAATGGGAAAATAAAATTTCTTACTATTTATACAAAATATATCAAAACAAAAACTACAGAACTCATTGGCCTTAAATTATTTAAATTTTATTCTCATTTTTTTAAGGGATTTAAAACAAAGCCAAAATTCTTTTAGTGAGGATCCTCATAGTACCATGAGCTTCTACCTGAACAGTGGTTACCAAATGCATACACATTTCACAACAATAGATTTTCCTGCAAATTGGTATTTATGTTTTTTTGAGGTCACTGATTATGAATCTGAAGTCCGTTTTAAAAAATTCAAAATGGCGGATCCAATATGTCGGACAAATTTTTAATTTACTGAATTTTTCTGCAAAGTGGTGTAAGGGGCTAACTAATAACGATAATCTAAAGTCAGAATTACCAAAATCCAAATGATGAACGAATTTTGAACAAATTATTAAATTTTTAAATTATCTAATTAACTATATATCAGCTCTAATAATAAAAAGATTGAAAAAAAAGTAAGAAAAAAAGTAAAGGGAATAAAAAAAAATGCTTACATATTTTTGTACCGAATTATATTTGTATTCTATAGCAATAATGTGTAATAATACTAGTGGCATGTTAACCATCACAATAATTACATTAATCGATACATGTACATTGATATCAGTTACTGATTAAATCTACCTATATTTGAACAAACTCGTATCTCTGAGACTCCGCTTCAAGATTCGCGTTTAGTAAAAAAAAGATAAAATTAACAACGCACACATCTTTGGACAATAACAAAGTTTATCATCTATATATGTAATTTCAAGTTCATGAAATACATATGAAAATTAGTTTTTCACAAATAACAATGATTTTAAGTCTTTTGGATCTCAATCTCTAGAATAAAATTGTCATTATACATTTTAAAGTTGTAATTAAACAAAAATGTAGTACATAGTTGAAAAAAATATTGCTTATTAATAAACACAAAACCCAAAGATCATATATAAAAGTTCTTAATTACGTTCTGAATATTTCTGTCGATCAATTTCGAAAAGTAGAAATTTAAATATTTATTTCTAATAATTTCCTCATATTGAAAATGTCGGGAAACATTTTTCTATTGCTCATATCCATATTGCAAAAATACTGTCGTCACAATTTTTATTACTATAAATGCATTTCGTTTTCTATGGCGCACTAAGCTAAATAATTTTAAATTAAATCTCTCACAATTAGTCTACTATTAAAAAATAAAAAATCTGAAAGTTGAAAATAATTTTGAAATGCAATGTTCGGTGTTTACATTTTCAGAAACATTATCCATCTCACAAAATTTTTTTAAAATTGTCAAAAACATAGAAGTGTTTTTTATACTGCAGCTACTAGAAAGTTGACAAGTTTATGCCTGGATACAAAATAATGTAAACTGAATCAGTACAATTTATTTAATAAATAATACAATGTTAGGTTGTTGAAACCTTATTGCATCTAGTAAATTCTGTAATCTGGCTCTTTAAATCAATTCAAATAATCATTTTTACAGATCTGTTATTGCTTAATTTTTATTATTCTCATATACAACACCGAGAAATAATGTTTGGACATAGCTTTTTTAATAACCATTTCTTAAATAGTTATGGCAAAAGAGAAAATTTGTTTAAGCTGAGAAACTTCCTGAAAAGGCATTTGGCATGGTTTCGAGTCATTCTACAATGACCTAATAATGAATAATTGACCTAGTGCTTACGTATAAATTTTTATTTTCACAATTAGTAACTGGTCATCCTTTTTTCGAAATTTCTAATTTCTATAATGAAAAATGAAACATTTTAATTAGAAAACTTGTTCTGTTCTAAAAAATTAATTATTTTTAAAATACTGAAAGCAACTGGTGTCCTTGCAGGAACTCTACATTATTGTTATTCTATAACAACTTTAAATTCATTCCAAAACGAAAAGGTGCTCATAGTTACTATTTGTTTCAAGTTGATTTAAAGAGCGTATTTTGCTTTACATAAACTGACCGTACATTCATCTTTTTTTATCACGTTTTAATTATTTACTTTGTTGCAATTTGCATTCATTTTATTCAACATCAATCAAAATAACACACATGTGAAATACTTCGTATTTATTCCCCTCAACGCTTTCAAACCCCTACTAGAGAAAACATATGATTTTATAGAAAAACAAATACTACATCATTTCACATTTTTTTAAAAAAGTTTTTTAATATTCTTAAAGTTCGTTTCTCGCCTTTTTTAAAACATTGATGATTTACATTAATTTAATTTATTAATGGTGTTTCAAAAGACATTTGATTATTTTAATTATTGTGGCTGATATTATCACGCAATCATCGTATGGTGGCCTTTAGTAGTCAAATTAACAAATTTAAAACTTTTGTACATCACTGCCCTTCCTTTACTATATTTTAGACTTTTACTCAAAAAAACAGCTTAATTCATTTAACATTTTAGAAGAAAAATGGTTGACAACATTGAAACAATCATGTATAAAATTAAATTATACTTAAAATTGCGAGACTAACTTTTATTTATTTTATCAAATAAGAAATCTATTTTAATTTATAATTATAATTTATAATTTTAATTTATAAATTAATTAGATTAAAATTTCTAAGGAATTCAATGCTAATAAACAATTCCACATAAGGTAGTCAAAGTAAAAAAAGTTTTTTTTTCAAAATAAGCTGAAACTTGGGAAATGCTTGGTACAAATATTCATTTAATTAGACCAATATTTTCTGAGTGGGAGTCGAGCAAAATGTTTTTGGATTTTTTGATACAAGAAAACACTAGAACTATCTGTACGTTCTTCTCTAAAAGTTTTTGTCTTAATTAGGAAAATATTTATACCAAGATTTTTGTCCTTTCCAATTACTCAAGTTTCGGGACACTAATTTTTTTTACCTTGATCACTTCGTGTAAAACAGCCCATTTGAAAAATTAGATAATTACTTAAGTTATACATAATTAAATTTTAATTAGGACTATAAGTTCTTCCTGTTCTTAGGATACACAGAGAAGTTAAATTAATTGTCACTAGTATGGCTACAATATTGGAAAACATTGATTTTCTGGGCGTTCGTGGCTTATATCTAAACCATGGGAATCTCTTTCAATTAATAAGATTTAGAACCTACAATTAATACCTATTTAACCATCGATGATTCCATTTACCAAAAAAAATTTAACAAATACTACAAGACCAGATATGTTTTCCTTATCTTCTTTTCATTGCACTTCCCGAAAAAAAAATCTATATAGCAAAAGAAGAATTGAATAAATTAGAGTATCTAGTTTCTCATTATAATTATCATATTCCATTTCATATTCTTTATATTCCACTCCATTCATTATTAAATTTTAATTAATACTGACTTTATTTTAAGAAAAGTAATAAAATCATTCCCCAATGAGCATAGAAGTTAGGACATTCTTTTGATATCCATAATCGTTAAAAGAATGTTCTAATGACGTTACAAACAATTTATTTTCTCGACATGAGTAATTATGTATCAATGGAATACAATTATTGTTTTCAGTAACAAGTGAAAATTGCTAATAAGAAATAGAAATGTAAGAGATTCCCAAAATTCAGAAAACATATGAGCAACTTCAACCATTTTCTACTAATGGATGGATTACATGTATTGGGCCTCAATGGGCAAAAATATTCTACACGTTAATTCCTTTCATTAAAATTTTATCACTTTCCTATGACTATTGTTTACTAAAGTTAAATGGAAATTAGTGTTGTGTCTACAACCATATAAATACAAAAACATATTGGAGGATCGAAAATGTTTATCAATTTTCTCGAGTTAGGTAGTGTAATCAAATTAGTAACACATTTTTTAACGTTTCGACAGCACCACCCCCCTCTTCACAATTGCAATTTATTATAAAATTAGGATATTATGTATACAAACAAGAAAAATTCATAATTTGTTTTTAAAAAATCAATATTTTGTCGCATACCCAAGGTTGTCCTACCATACAAATGTCTATTTGACATAAAATTTTATTACACGGTAAAACCCCTTTTTTAAAACAAGTTATGAATTTTTCTTGTTTGTATACATATATATCCTAATTTTCTAATAAATTGCAGTTCTGAAGAAAGCGTCGATGCTGTCGAAACGTTAAAAAAATAATGTGTTACTAATTTTATTGCACTACCTGACTCGAAAAGATTGATAAGCATCTTTCGTCCTCTACTGATTTACCATAAGTGATAAATTCGCAAAATCTATACAAAAACATATTATGAAAATTATACTCAACACTTGTTTTGTAAAATTTCTGTAAAATGTTATATACTTTACTTTTAATTAAGTATAAATCAATTACATTTTCGTTATTTATTTCATTTTTGTCAACTTGAATCAAATTAATAATTAAACATAATAAATGTATCTTAAGAGAATAAAAATAAAGAAAGAGTTAAAAACATAAACTATTAGCTATTGTAAAATTTCATTATGATTTTAATAAAAAAAACATGTTGATATAAATAAGTAAAAAGTAACCAATAGTTTAAGGCTTCTTTTCAATGGAGGCGCATGATGATTCTCCAAATATGTCATTTGACCGAACTGTCATTTTACCGAATATTGCATTTATCCGAACTGTTATTTTAACGAAATGTCACTTTTGCGAATCGCCATTTTTACGAATTGACACATTTGCGAAAATTCATTTTTGTGAAATATAATTTTTACGAATTGTCATTTTTACGAATCGTTATTGTTCCGAAACGTCATTTTTTCGAATTGTCATTTTTACAGAATGTAATTTTTGCGAATCGCCATTTTTACGAATTGTCACTTTTGCGAACTGACATTTTTTCGAATTGTCATTTTTACGAAATGTCACTTTTGTAAATTGACATTTTTACTTTTACGAATTGTCACTTTTGCGAATTGTCATTTATGCGAACTGCCATTTTTTCGAATTGTTGTCATTTTTACGAAATGTCACTTTTGTGAATCGACATTTTTACGAATTGTTACTTTTGCGAAATATCATTTTTACGAATTGTCATTTATGCGAACTGACAATTCGAAAAAATGTCAGTTCGCATAAATGACAATTCGCAAAATTGACAATTCGTAAAAAATGTCGATTCACGAAAGTGACATTTCGTAAAAATGACATTTGAAAAAATTATATTTCGCAAAAAATGACATTTGGGGAATAATCATGCGCCTCTTTTCAATGCAATAAGAAGAGTGTCTAGCGAATTTTTAAGTAGTATGCATTTTGTAATTTTGAGTAGTAATTTGTCAATTAGTATTCATTTTTGATCATGAAAAAGCAGACTCAAAAACTTCTTTTTACCCGCACGTACAAACAAAATTTGATTTTTTATTATAATCTTATTATTAACAAACTAACAAAATATTCCCTTTCTTACAAATAAATACTCATAAAAATTATAAACTATAACAATAACAATAATTTTAACGAAGAGAAAAGCAACGCATAATATATAAATAATAAATAAATATAATTAAACATATAACTATAATCGCTTCAACATAGATTATAATTAGAATTAAAAAATTTATCCACACTGGCTAGTAATGAAACTATTTAACAACAGATGAAAAATTAATGTTACAGCAATAAAAATGGTAACTTCATTTTTCAAAAATTCAACAATCAAGTGGTCGAGAATTTACGTGTTTTTTCGAGTCAAGAAGCGGATTTTGAGCAGTTCTTTTTTCGAATCATTAAAAATTTCAAGTTCAATGAAATCTTTTTTGCAACTTATTATTTATCTCTTTAATAAGCTCTTGACAATAAACTTATAGTTATTTAATAAAAGGGCAGAAAGAATGCATTCACATTATTACCTTTTACCTATATTATAAGGAGCAGACGAGCCAATTTTTCAAAAATAAAATTTTTCATAATTAAAAGTTCATTATGCAAATAAAGAAAGTTTTTCTTTATTTAATACTGATGTATCTACATTATTTATTATATTGATTGACAATAATTAAATTGTTAAATTGTTACAACTTGGAGTTAATTATCTTTAAAATACATATTATGATTAAGAATTAGTAACTATAGTTGCTGCGGGTTTTTTTTAATAAAAAATAGATTTTTTTGTGAATTGAACACTATTTACTGGTGATTTTAGCCTAATATTTATCTTGGCACGTCTGATCCAATGAATCTGATTGCTATCAGTTTACACCTTTTTACAATAATGACAATTTTATAAAATAAATAATTAACAACTATGCACAAAATTAAAATTATGTTCAATATGAACTTTTATTTTCTGCGATTGTTAATTTGCTAGTAACTTATATAGTATGAGTAAAGAGAATGTTTCACATTTAAATCAGTTTTTTTTTGAGAAGGGCAGATAAAAAAATTAATTTCATAAAAATTATTAGAATTGTTTTATATATCTGTTTCTATATATTAATTATATTATAATGTTCTATTTAGAGAAATTAATATCTCTAGACTCAATACTATATTATATTCTTACAGAATATTATAATAAATAATTAATTTTATCATATTCTATACAAGAATAAGACGCAATAAATACGCGGAGAAAAGTGGATATTTACAGTTAATATCTTTATTATAGTCGTTCTGATTTAGAATTTATTTTCTTAACCAATCATCGGCAGATATTTAAACTCAACAAATTTTGAATTTTTATTTTTTCTTCTTATAAACTGAATATTTCGAATGTTTAGATATTAAATTTAAAAATTCACTTTTCTTTGTGTCACTTTATTTTATTATATTTATCTGTACTTTTTCAGAAACATTATCCTCATTCAACGACAAAATCATATTATAGTCTTTCTACACGCTTAAGTTTACTAACATACAATTATATATTTAAAATCCTAGCTACAGATTTTTATATTAAAAACATCAATTAATTATAAAAAAAACTTACAACAATCAAATATTTAAAAAAACAAAACAGTTTTTTTAATATAAGATGGAACTATATTCTCTTGAACGATTCTATAAAAAATCTTTGGGTTGAATAGATTTTTCCTTAAATAAACAAATGAAGTTTTCGTAGTGAAGAAAATTCCCATATACAGCAGTAAAACTTGTAGCAATATTGACTTTTTTTCACTGTCAGAGACACTGAGGATATGTTATCAATATTGATGAAAGTGTTGCTGATGCTTTGGTTGTTAGTACAAAACATGATTTTTTAACACTTAAATAATTATTTTTAATAATATTTGTTCTCAAACACATTTTTGTCAAGGGAAGAAAATACCCCAATACAGATATTTTAATAAAATTTGTAAGTCTTTTCATTGAACAAATTTTTTACTTTGACATCAAATTCATTTTGATTTCGAATTTAAATTGACTTTAACGTCAGATTCATGTTGATCTCGAATTCAATTTGAGTTTAACCTACGATAACACAGGGAATCAAATTTGAGTCAACTTTTGGACCCGGAAAAGTAAAAACGTTTTTTAACGTTAATTACAAATATGAAGTCAGATTTTAAAAATTTAAAATGGCGGATCCAATATGGCGGACGAAAAAATGAAAAATCAATTTAGCTTGAAATTTGTTACTAGGCGCTTTTTGGGGTCGCTGATGGCGAATATGAGGTCATAATTTACTGAAAATTAGGAAGCCAAAAAATACTTGAGTAACAAATTTGAAGCAAATCCGTTAGATTTTTAATATTTTCGTCCGCCATATTGCATCCGCCATTTTGAATTTTTTAAATCTGACTTCAAATTCAAAGTTACAACTGTTTTTTTCTATATAACATATTTCGATTTTCAAAGTCAACTCGAATTCAAAATCAAAGTGAAATAAAATTGCATAGTCGACCCTCTCTAAATACCAAACACAAGAATTCTCAATTATATTATTAAATTATAATTAAAATTAAATATTTAATTAAATTAATTAAATTATAATTATAATTAAAATTATGTTTATATTGGGGTGTCTTCTTGATAAAATTGATTTGATTTACATCGGTAAAATTTCATCGATTCATCTGTGTAATAACGCTTATTATTGGAATAAATAGTAGTTGAAAATTATTGCAATTTTGCAAATTTAGATTTAGAGAATTTAGGGAAGAGTTCAGTAGCCATGAACACTATTCATAATACTGTACGTTTAGCATTAAAAAGAAAATAAAAATATTCTCTTTAATTTATTTGAAATCAGTTATATTTTTAATTTGTCGACTAATTTTTTTCTACAACAAATTTTCTCTCATAGTATTCAAATTAGAGAACTTTGCTTACAGTTCTAATAAAAGAAACTGTTTTAATTAACAAACATAACATTAGTAAATAAATATTCATTAGAATTAATTCTGCTCTAAATACTGATAATTTTTTATGAAATCGGATCCTGTATAAAATTTCTAATTTCCTGAATCATTATTATTATCTCCTTAAATATCTCTGTTGAATAACCCTTTCTGGGTCACCATTTTGAATTTTTTAAATCTGACTTCAGATTCGTAATCAGCGACTCCAAAAACCCCCGAGTAAAAAGTTTTATGTAAATTTGATCAATTTTAAAAAAAATGTCCGCCATATTGAATCCGCCATTTTGAATTTTCAAAATTTTGAAAATCTGACTTTATATTCGTAATCAGCGACCCCGAAAACCCCAGAGTAAAAAGTTTTATGTAAATTTGATCAATTTTAAAAAAAATGTCCGCCATATTGGATCCACCATTTTGAATTTTTAAAATTTTGAAAATCTGACCTCAGATTCGTAATCAGCGACCCCAAAAACCCCAGAGTAAGAAGTTTTATGTAAATTTGATCAATTTTGAAAAAATGTCCGCCATATTGGATCCGCCATTTTGAATTTTCAAAATTTTGAAAATCTGACTTTAGATTCGTAATCAGCGACCCCGAAAACCCCCGAGTAAAAAGTTTTATGTAAATTTGATTAATTTTGAAAAAATGTCCGCCATATTGGATCCGCCATTTTGAATTTTCAAAATTTTGAAAATCTGACTTCATATTCGTAATCAGCGACCCCAAAAACCCCTGAGTAACAAGTTTCAACAAAATTTAATCGCTGGGTTTCTCGGGGGCATGAAAGGGTTAAAATAATAATTGAATTCATCAAAATTGGAAAATTGTACAAGAAATAGTACCTACGTTCAGTGTGGAAGATATATTGATACGAAGGTTTATTTTTCTTTCGATGTGCAGCATCAATTTTATCGTCAGTTATTATTTTATTAAAAAATTAATAACAATTTGTCAGTTTTCATCTTTTGACCAATAATCATTACCTAGTGGCACATTTGCTTAAAAGACTTATTTTCAAACTTATCAAACTGCCTCCACATTTCTAAATGCAAATGATCTTAAACGATTTTCAGAATTTATGTAATTAATATTATATACAGGAATTGATTTCATAAAAATGTTTTGTATTTTAGAGAAACTCATCGCTAATCCATAAGAAGTCCTGTTAATTTTTAAGGTCAAGAAATTTTGAAAATTTTTCATTTCTTCATAGAAAATAATATTTCAAGAATAATTTAAGATATAATTCAGATTAAAATTTTGTCTAGAACTTGAGTAATATTTAAAAGCTTTATTACTTTCTTATTTTTGAGGTAAAAACTCAAATTACTAGTCTAAAAAAAATTTAGTTAAAAGAAAATCTAAAAGACATATTTGTCCAAAAATTCTGGCACTGTATGATATAAACTTGATGCACGTTATTCTTGATAAAAATAGTTATTTTTTTACCTTCAGTATTCTCTATACGTCAAGTTGTTAAAACAAAATTTAAATAAAAATTTCACTTCAAAATCACTAATTTTTATTATTTATTACGTATACTATCGCTTATTGCTTTTCCATATTGTAATACAACTTTGATTTCTTTGATATTCTCATTTGACTTCTCGCAACATTCACTGCCATTTACTAAAAAACTCACAAATACTTATACAAACGCATTAGAGCAAATTAAATTATTCACTACTGCATTCTTAAAAAAAGGACTGGTTCATCAAAGATTATGTTTATATTTTACAGAATTTCTAAAGCAATTAAACCTAAAGAAAAAATTGGAGATATTTTCTTTAATTTTTGGAAGTTTGTACGGCAGATTCTATATCTTTGATGTAGCAGTGCGCCCTTCGATGAAACCCCATTACTACAAGTAATGTAGAAAGAACATTACTTTAGAATAAGTGTTTTTCACAAAATCAACATTCGTCATATTAAAAAAGAAATGAAGTGTATTTTAAACTGACTAAAAATTGGAAGCATTAAATTTGTCTGGCAAAAATATTAAAAAATTGCCAACTCCTTTAAAATTAACAATTTTTAACATTGCATTTTTGCCAGCGTATCAAAAAGATGAACTGATTTTGCTATCTAACTTTGGCTCACATCACAATATTCAGCGTCGATAAAGATTCTTTGGAAACCTACAAATTCAAATTTTTAGCTCCCTAGAAAATATGAGGTGCCAATTGCAGTTTCCAAAGAGAAACAGGCCTTGCGAAAACAGTGACCTGACCTTTTTCCTTACCGCCCACTAAGAAAACATAAAGCGGAGCAGGACCTGGAGGGTTTGTCTCATTGGCGGCCAATTTGGCCCTTTGTCTCTCGGCTCTGGATGCACTGACAGCTCGTCGAGAAGGCGAGCCAAGAGGCAGGCTTTTCGGTGGTGCCCTGGGCCTAATTTCCTGCAGCTCGAGCAACTCTGTAAAAGTTTGAGAAGCTGATCTTCCAGGCTCATCTTCCAGGACACTGTCGGGCGGACTATTTAACATTTTTGCAAATTTCCCATCATTATTGGTTGCCTCAAGTCCGAGGTAATTTGGATTGCAAAAACCAAATTGCCCTTCGCGCAATATCGATGTTTTATTTTTCGTCCTTTTCGGCCAGTCATCATCGCCTAGAGGATCGCCAGGACTTCTTGCTTCTATGCTCGCATAATCAGACGTTGATTCTTCGCCTTCTTCGAGATCGGCAAATCGGACGGAAGCAGAAGTCGGAATTTTTGTTGTCGTTGGAGTCTTTGGAGTTTGGACGGCCTCGTACAGATGGGAACTGTAACTTTCGCCTCGAGTTGGTTGACAGGCCTGGTGAATTGTTGCAAAGTCCCTGGAAAAGTATATTGAAAATTGTATCATTTCTTCTTTCTATCTGCGAAAATTCTATAACACTCGATGTAATTGAAAATAACTCACTTTTCTTCTTCGGGAACTTCGATTAGTCTAGAAGTTGGGGGTTCTTTTCGATCATCATCACTCTCCTCGTCTGGATCCACAAAAACTAGTCTAGAAGCTTCGACTGGTGTTAAAACTGGTGTTGGCAAGGTGAGAGCTCTAAAATTTGGAACAGAGATTGGATCCCTTGTCATTCCGGAATAGGATTGATCGGAATTTTTTGGCATTTCTGAAATCTTCTGACGTCTTTTGGCTAAAGTGTTGGCACTTCGGGACTTGACCATTCCCGTCGACGGCTCCACAATTTCCACATCCACTTGCTGAAATGGAAAATAAGAAATTGCCTGCAGGCAGGCTAGCTTCATTCAGGCTCTATTTTCGCGGTAAATAATATTAATTCAAAACTAAAATGACAACTGAGACAAACTTATAGTTTAAAGTATCGATTTCTAATAGCACTTATAACAGCATTTGATTTTAAAAACCATAAAGAATGCTAATAATTCTCTTTAAATATATCAAACGTACATGCCAGAAAAATAAATACAATTGAAACTAGATTATTAAAATTAGAAAATGAAATTATAAAAAAATATTAATAAAACGAGTTTTGCTACTTTTTCAAAGTACTTACATCATTAGGACTTTCTTCGATATCATCGTGACCACTTAGTACGGAGTAGCTGCACTTGTTGGGGTGACTTAGTCTAGATAAATTAATTTGAGACAGTTTTGATATTTCTCGGAGGAAACTGGGTCGCGTTGGCGCTTCATTGGGAGATATTCGACTGCAAGGAGGTCTGGGCCTTTGACTTCTTGGTCTAGGTCTAGAATTGTCTAATCCATTGCCACGAATTACGAGTTCAGAAACTGCGAGTGCAACGCTTTCTGCTCTTGGTTGAGGCTTTGGTCCCGGAACTGCAAGCTTTTCCCATGTTTCAGTTCCTAAAATTCGTGTAATCAAATGTTTATTTATTTCTTTTACAAATATTTATCTTTATAATTATTGTTCTTTCGGATAAAATTAACAAATTACTTTTTGCAATACGTACCAAAGTGAAACCTCCAAAGTTCATTAGTAGCAAGACCTCCACTTTCCCCACCAAAAATTAACATACAGCTTGGTAATCTACAAGCGGCATGTCCATGAAGTGGTCCTGGACCTGGTTTATTTTTTAATATGCACCAAGATGTTGTATGAACATCCCATCGCCAACAGTCACTTCTTTCTTGGAGATCTGTCATTCCTCCGTAAATGTACATTGCGTCGTCGTGTAAAACTGCAGAGTGTTTATGACGAGCTGCTGGACCACATTCACTGGATGACAATAGATGCCAGGATTCCGTTTCTAGAAATGAAGAAACGTAAGTAGAAAGTTGTACTTATTATAATTTAATTTAACTTATAATATTGTACTCAGATAACAAACATGTATCGCAAACTTTCCTCACAATTTGCATAGCAGCTTGCACTCAGTTAGAAAACTCATTTTAGAAAAGTTTAGAAAACTTGTTGGTTATCAAGACAAAATTAGCAGACTATTATCTAGAGGTGCGATTTTCTAATTTGACTTTGGCTTCTAATTCAAGTTTGACTTTGACATTGACTTAGGGTTTCACTTTAGCATATGCCTTTCAAAATCAAAAGCAACAGGTTGTTCTAAATATTCGTGTTAACCAAAAACACTTAGATGAAGTTGTCTAAAGACTCTCCGATTACAAGCTGAAACCAGCTGTAACTTAATTTTAATGTTATTTGTAGCATGGCACGCGAAGTTCGCTTCTATAAAGAAATAGGCAATTGATTTATAGTAATTACTAGTCCCATCTCAAAGCCTTAACTACTAAGAAAAAAAAGTGGAGCTGCAAGGGTTACAAACAAGGGAGGACCTCCTGATTAAAATCGGAGGAGATTCCAAATAGAAGGAGTTCATTATTCCAATAGAATAATGAAGAATTAAAGCACATAGAAAAAGATACATAATGTCAGAATACTGTCTACGTATAATTTGGATATAATTATTATTTAACAAAGTATTAAATTTAGAATTTACCAAAATGAAAAGCCCATAATTCAGGGGAGCTTCCTCTTAAATCTTGATAACCTCCATAAATTAACATTTGACCTCGATGTACTAACGCTGAATGACCTCTTCGTCCTCTAGGAACTGCACATCCCTTTTGTGCTCTAATCTTTCTCCACGAATTTGTCTGTAATGAAAAAAGTAATACTGTATAAGCAAATTTGACATTAAGATAATTAATGATAGATCGTCCAACGTCCTTCCGGCAGGACGAAAAAGACTCAGGTGAGTCCCTCCGAAATCACTAAAGAAAACTAACATGGATTCAGATAAATAAAAAATGAAATATATCATTGGAAAGGTAACGAATCAAGCTTTCAGCGCATATAAATATCGAGCTTGTAAGTTCAAAACTAAGGGCTGGGTAGTTTGAAGAAGTTCAATTTTCCAAAAATTCACATAATTTTTAGTCACAGAATGACGAAGCCCGGTCCTGCCGGCAGGACGCTTTTCGCTTTATTTAAGAGACTGCCTCGCCCAGGTTTATAAATTTAAAGACTCGATATTTACATCATTTGAAAGCTTGTTTCATTACTTTTCCAGCGATATATTTAGTTTTATATTTATCTGCTTCCATATTAATTTTATAGAGCAATTTCGAAGGGACTCACGCCTGAGTCTATACTCAGATATACTGAACAATATTAAAAATGAATTTTTTTTTAATTGAACAATTAGGTTTCATTCTTTGAACGTTTTTGAAGAGAAAGAGACTTGTCCGGTCAAAAAATATTGATTTTCGGGGATATTGCATTAAATTTACGAAAAAATGTTTTTTTCACTGTTTAAAAACATAGCAAGTTTGAAGGCTTTGAAAAATGGTTTAAATTATTATTTTAAAAAGTCAAAAATATGGATTTTTTCGTCTTTTCGTCTACTTTAATCCCAAGGAGTGCCAGAAAAGAAAAGTTGAATTCCCTTTTTTTAAAAGCCTTTTTTTCGGAACGTCCTTCCGGCAGGACGGGCGTTTGGACGATTTATCATTAATTAATAGTAAATACTGAAACTTTTAGGATTGAGACCCTATTTTGAATCTTTAAGTTTTAATTCTTTTAAAGACAACTCATCTGTATACATTTATATTCGTTTCAATTTTTGACAAAATTTGTACAAATATTAATTCTGACAGATTGGTTTGAATTAAAATCAGTTTAACTAAGTTTAATATCATTATAGAGTTTGGAAACACTTGGATTCCCTTTGTAACGTAAATATTGTTGAAGCATTTGTTAGTTCTAATAAAACGGAATTTGGTAAAGAACTTACAAATATTTCAGGTACAGAACTTAGGTATGAAAAGTAATAAATAAAGGTTCTGGGTTCAGTTACTCTTTGCCTGACTACAGACGTGAACGGAAGTAAAAATAGTTTTTCTGTACAAAATATATTATCAACTGTATTCCATATCTTTCATCACTAGTACTTATAATTAATAAATTATGCCACGTATGTAATTATTACTTTGGTGGAAACTTCTATAATATAGTAAAACGGGGAACAATCATGATACGCTAAAATAATTATAATTTATTTTCAATGTAAGATTTCAAGTAATAATTCTTGTATTTCACACGTTCTCTATATTATACTTTCCATATTAATCTTCCTTGTGTTAGAAAATTTATTAAAAACATCTTGGCTATTCAATCTTACTGGGGATACACATAACTTAATTCTAAAAAATTCTTGGCATCGTGGTGATGATTGTTTTTTTTAACAAAGACAAATAAATTTGTCAAGAAAGTTTCTGTTGGCAAAGGTACATGCTATGAATTTCTCTAATTTATTGGTATACACTTTCACGCAAAGATAAAATTTTATTTAGCAAAATATAGCAAGTGTTTCTCGTTATTTATGTTAATCACTTGAGCGGCAGGGTGTCAGAATTGGAGTCGGGCGTGGAAGTGCCAGAACCCAGTAAGAAACGAAAAATTGAAAAGTATTAAAAAGATTCTATTCTTTTGAATGCCATTTCTGTCCAATACTTTTCTATCCAGTGAGAGCAATATAAATAGTAACGATATCAATCCTCTTGAATACCCAGTAAGAAAGCAAAGATTAAGAAGCATTAAAAAAATTCTATCCTTTTGAATACCATTTCTGCCCTATGCTTCTGAATTCCGCGACAGTAGTATAATAATATAATGCTAATATTGTTGACATATAGAATGTTCAATTACTTTTAAATAACTGCACTCATGAATTTATTTGCTATTTTAAAAAGGAATAATTATTAAATTATCAGTTAAGAGGGTTAAAAGTGTTTAAAGGTCTCTGAAATTTTTAGGTTATGATTTATTGTCTAACAGAATAAACGGCCCTGACTCGTTTAAATGACGTTAAATTGGTAAACAATCAATTTTTCAGCAAGTTTTTCTTTGAACACAAACACTTTTTACAAAATCTGCCACCGTATGTATCTTATAAATTACAAAAATCCAGAAGATTGCTTGAATGCATGCAGAAACGCGGTTCCAATGAAAAATTGAAAAGTGATATAATGACAGGCTGTAATAATTTCGGATGAGATTGGAAAGCATTCAGAAAAAAATTTTGTCTTTGTTAAAAATTACAAAAAGAATTGAATAGCATTCATTTTTAGACGAAACGTGGTCCTATGATGGTATAGAAAAGTATTGGACAGAAATGGCATTCAAAAGTATTGGATAATTTCTACTACACCATACAGAGTTTGAATTATTTCAATCCTTTTCAATTTTTCGTTTCTTACTGGGAAGCGGCAAAAATGCGAAAAAGGCGTCAAAACTTGACTACGATTTTCTAAGTCAGTAATTAGGAGATTTATAATATCAAAACAAGGAATTCTTGTTTTTCAAGGCTCAAAAGTTGACGCCATTAATGTTAAATTATTGATTAATTAAATTTTACATCATATTCGTAATCAACAACCCCTATTCTACACTTGAATGTGTATTTTTTCTTTATACCCTTGAAAATATAATCCTTATTTCATTTCATGCAATTACAACTTGCATGAAAGAGGTGCACGAAAGAAGCGTTGGAGATCGTTTATCGCTCAAGTGAACGATGAAGTACTGCTTATAGGCATGCTATGTTTTAGCGAAAAAAGACTGACTTATAATTTGAGAATTTCTAATCTGTTAAATTGAAATTTAAATTCACTTAAAATCTAATTTTTCATTATTAAGTAAAATAGAACGAATACATTGTTAAAACTGATTTAAAAATATTAATATTTTTTAACATTTTGATGTTAGTGACAGTTTGGAATAAAGTTTAAAAAAAAAAATTATTTAAGATTCTATTTATTTATATATTTCCCACGGTCCTTGGTGGTCTTAAATGGGTAACTAAATTACTGCCTAAATTATACAATAACTAGGCCTAGCTAGGCGATCACGAAACTGATTTCAGTTTTTAAAAATCCAAGATGGCGAATCCAAAATAGCGGACGAAAAAATGAAAACTCGGATGGATTTGCTATAAACTATTGTTACTCTTCGGTTTTTAGGGGTGCTGATCAGGAACCTGATGTCAACTTTCAAAAACAACTTAAAAAATTAAAACTTAATCAGATTTGCTAGAAACTTTTGAATGTTAAAATAATTGTTGTCCACAGTTTACAGAAATACAATCCTTTAATTACCAAATTCGGTTCATTGCTATTGCTGATCAGAAGCATATTTTTTGTTGACGATGAGCAGGCGTGTTATTTAAAAGGTTTGAATAATTTAACTAAAATTTTTGCACTCTATCATTCTGATGGATTGCCAACGACAACTGTTCCAATACCACTACTTAAACGGAAACGTTCATTCATTTTGGCAAATGGAAATACGAATAAAGACGGGATTCGATTACCCGTGGCGGAAACTGGTATTGCAAGTCACTAAAACATCGCGTTCTGATAAAGTAATTGACCGTACACTTTTTATGCCACATACTGCACCATCAGATCGATATTTTTACGCCCTCGTCAAAGCAGACTCATCCATATTCTAAATGTTTACATCCTTGATTCGAAATTTTTCTTTGTTGAAAGATAAAAGTATGAATTTAAAAGCGATTCTGTTAATTAAATTCTTATTTCGTTTTATTTTTATACACATAATAAGCTCTCATTTGGTTTGTTCACAGTGTTTGCACTGTCACGTCATCGCGACGTATTTTATATTTTGTAAAGTTAAAAACTGAATGCTTAGTTTCTTGGAATCAAAGCTATATTGATCCGAAGTCTTTGTCTGGATAGCAGATACCAAATATAGTCATTTGTATTTTGTCATTCTTCTATTGGGTTCCCACTTACATGTAGTAAAATTTTTATCATATTGACCCAGAGGTGATAAAAGTGGGTGGTATGACAGAGTTTCCTTTGCAGAAGGATCCTATAAAAGGTGCCACCCTGGCCGAATTAGTCAGTCCAGGAATCACCACGAAGTTGTGTACTGCTCCCAAGTGTCTTCTTCGACTCCAGTCCATGAAACACCTTCAAGTCCAGAAGTCACCACCGAATTAATTTCACGTCTTCTTCGTGTCAGGTCAGTCCAGCAACCATGACCAAGTTAACTAGTTGTGTACTGTCATCGGGTTTGTTTTTCGACTCCAGTCCAGAAAATCTCTTCAAGTACCAAGTGCATTCTTCGAGTCTCGTCTTCGTCAAGTTTATTCAAGGAGATAATTTCTACAGAGAGGCACATTTCTATTTTTCTAAGGACTGCATTTCTTCGACATCAACGTCAAATAAATAATTCTGTCACTCCTAGGCTGAAGGGATGTTTTATCTAATTTACATCGACACCTGGACTCCGGACCTTTCACTTCGGCTGGCCCGAAAACAATTTGAGGAAAATCTACTGCATTCTCTGTTTCCGTTAGACAAAGTCATTTCCTCGACCTCACACTGAAGCTTGTTGGGCCTACGACTCTAAGAATAATTTTAAAGGGTAAGTAACTAATTGTCGATTGATTTCACAAAGTTCTAATTGTGTTTCAGTGTTCCTGAAGACATCTGGATCTACTCTTCCTCTCTCATTCTAATTGTAAAGGATTCAAATGAAAACTTTAATAATTTGATTTCAATTTAACAGTTACTCTTTCTTAAAACCTGTCCCTTAATATATAATATTAATATTATCATCTTAATAGCAACTGTTGTTATGGTAACCATTGCCATTGCAACCGTTAGTGTGAAAACAGTTGCTATGGTAACCAAAACCATTGCAACGGTTGCTATGGAAACAATTACTGTGGTAACCATTACCATAACAACGGTTGTTTTGGCGTAATCTAACGGTTTCTGTGGGGGCCGTTAAGAACTACGGAAGGACGCTCGAATCTCTTTTTAAGTGTTTCAGCCCTTGACCACAAAACACTAAACACGAAGATGAAGTCAGCTAAATGTTGAAATCTTATAAAATCCAAAGGAATGTCAACATGACAAACAATGATGGACTTAAAAGCTTAAAATCGCTCATACAAGAAGTCGAGGACAAGCACGAAGTGTAAGGAAAGAGGATGAAAAGCTCTAACAAGGATTACTCTGCGCAGAAGAAGCTGTGTACTTGGTAGCTTCTTTTAGTCATATTTATTTTTACATACCACCAATTTTATATTCTCAAGAACAAGCACTGAACTTAAATTTGGTGCCAGGGGTCGAATCTGTAACTTCACTCTCACTTTCACTTCACTTCGTTTTCACTCTATTTTCACTTTCACTTTATTTGTGTTAAATTTAACTTTATTTACTATCCAAATTCCGTTAAAAATTTTAAGTTAAGTTAAATTTAATAAAAATGAAGTGACAGTGAAAATAAAGTGAAGTGAGAGTGAAGTCAAAGTGAAGTGAGAGTGCAGTCAATGTGCAGTGGAAGTAAAGTGAAAGCAAAATGAAAGTGAAGTGAAGTTACAGAACTAAGAAATTAAAAATTGTGACCAAAAACTATTGAGTAAACATTTTTAGACAAATCTGACAATTTTTAAAAAAAATTTGTTGTCATATTGGATCCCCCATGTTGGATTTTTTAATTCTAATATCAAATTCGGATTCAGAAATATCGTAAACCCTGAGAAAGGAATTTCAAGTTCGTTTTATTTTTTAGTTTACTACCTAGTGAATATTTAATTAATTTAAATTAATGCATTTCAGTGATTATATAGATGTTTGTTAAGTACCCACTGAATCATGTATATTTAAATAATGCGTAAAAATCAATTAATCTATATATCAAAATTTATTTTTTTTGTCATAAAAAAAATTATATACGTATTTTCGACTATTACATTTCTTTGAGCAATTTTTTGACATAAAAATCTTATAGAAATAAGCAAGAGCTATTGAAGGGAAACTGGTAAGGCTTTCGAATCAATTCTTAGGGGCTTCTGAAACTTTTCCCTAGGCTCCCCTTCATTTATTTTTTATATTCTACTCTCAACGAACGTCTTTCAAAAAGATCAGGTTCCATTTATATATCGGAGATGGTAAAATCTAAGTCGAAAGGGAAGAAACACCAATTACAGTATAATCTTGTGAAAATTATTATTGATAAAAAAATTTTCTCTTCCAAATATTTTTTCTCGTAAATGAAAATTTGAATTTTTTATAAACATATTTATGGTTATTCTTCTTGTTTCTTAATTATTAAATAAAATTCCCCAAAAAAAAAATGTTTTATACGTTCAGAAGAGAGTGTTATGGAATTAAATTTTTATTAGACCATAGTATGTTTTTCCAAAAAAAGTTTCAGTTTTTTTGTTATCGTGTCAATACTTACATTAGTTAGTTTTGAAATTAGAGTGTTGAGCATTTTTTATGTCTTCATCATGTGACGTAGGTAAGAGTATTACGTGCCCTTAATCGTACTCAAAATAATTTTGTTTCTAAACAATAGAACAAAATGTTAGGATGAGTGTAAAAAAATAAAAATTCCGAGCTTAAAACATGTTTTTTCTGTGAAAATTTATGTGAAATATTTCATTTGGCGGATTACGGAATAGGGTCATGAATTTTCCAATCTCATTTTCACTGAATTGCTACTCCAGAGAGAAGTGGCGAGAAGTAACAACCCTTAATATAATACTTTCCACAGCGTTGAAATAAAAATTAACCACATGCATATATATATATAGGATACGTTCCAGAACATGAAATAATTGTATGTAACATAAAAAAACATTTTAAAAGTTTTCTTAATTGAACTAATAATTTTTTTACGAACTAAATATTGTTTTAACTTTATAGGATATTAATTTTTAAGTGCAGTCGCACATTGATTTCTTGACATCGTTTGAGTCTTTGAGTGTCTGCGAAAAAACGAAAATCACGATATTAATAATATCTATCAGCGTGAATAATGTGATACCCTCGTAGTGTTAAACAGAAGATTAATTTTCTATTGAAACACCTGTACCAGACAAAATAAATTCAAATTCCTTTCTTTGAAAACTGAAAATAAAAATAGCACCATCATGATTACTATTTAATACATTCATTTCAATCATCAAGGGTAATTGCTCGCTCAATTTAAATCAATTAAAAACAACTAATTATTAATTAAATCTTGATACATTTCCTGAACATTTATATGGAAGCAATATTGATTTGAAATATTTTAACACAATTAAAATTTTAGTAGTATGTAGGAATGTAGCAATGGAGTTAGTGATACCTCTCTAAAATCAGAACTATTTATTAAAAATTACATTCATACTTATAAAAAACCGTTCCCAAATTTGCCAATCTGTCTTTATTCAATACCTGTTGTTGGTATGTATATAAATTCAAAAGTTTACACAAAACAATAAGGAAAACTTTAGTCACCGATGGAAAGTTTTTAATGTAAGTCTTCTAACCGTCGCGAGTTATACCTACTAGCTGACCTCATAGTCCTCTTTTATAAGCGGATTTGAAAAAGAAAATACACAATACGTTGTCAGCAGCTGTGATAAATGGTAATTGCCTCCGCTCCGGAAAACGATTTCCAATCTTTCGAAAAAAAGCTTCGCTAAAAATTTAAATTGTCTCTCACAAACAATAACTACCTACATTTATACCATAACGTATAAAAAATTGAAGAAACTTTTTTATTTCAAAGATGTCATTAATTTGTATATATATGTATTTGTCAATACTTTTTTAACAGGAAAATATACTATTATTATACAACGTCAAGTGGATGCTGTGCGGGTATAGGTTCAAAATGACAGTGATCGTTCACTCGCACCATCTAGGTCAAGCACCTAATGAATCGCTTTTTACCTCGCTTCAACCTTTCTGTTGATTTTTTCATCAACTTTTTTTCCCTTGTTTTATGAAGCTGAGAGACACAGCTTCAGAAATATCAAAAGCCCGAGGGAGAAAGTTTGTCCCTTTAAAGCGCATTGTTTTTTTCTGCTCTAGAAAAGCTTCTCACCATTATTTTTATTCCATTTAATAAAAGAATATTTTATCCTTCTTTTACAATTGAATTTTTTTTCTCTTCCGTCAAAGAATTTAAAAAATTTTTTCGACAATTTTTATACTTTAACATTTGTACTAATAATCTTTTACATTTTTTTTGCTTATTAGAATAAAATTTTCGATTCTATTCTTTAATATAATGATATTTTTAAATAAAATTTATTTTTGTCCTGATTTTTTATTTTTGTCTTATATTTCCAAATTTATATTTTACTTTTACTTGTCAACAATAGTCTCTCTTAAATTATATGCTTGATGGATACTTTAAAAAAATAATTTAAAAAAAATTTAATTTACCTTAACAGTGTAGCACCAAAGTGGAGTTTCAGTCCCAGCAGAAAATCCAAGTTCTCCTCCAAAAACATAAAGACAATCTCTGTAAGCAACTGCACTGTGTTCCTGAAGTGCAGGCGGTCTTTCACCTTCCGGATGTAATTCTTCCCATCTACTCTCAGCTGAAACAAAAAAAAAATTTTCTAATTAACTTTTTCCTCTTTTCACATTTTTATTTATAAACATTTCCTTTAGACCTACACTTAGAAATGTATTCAATGGAGTCCAAAACACTTCTGATTAAATAGTAAAAATTCTGAAATTTAGGTACATGTAAAAAAATTTTATAATTATTCATTAAAACAATATAGACGTTTAATTCAAAAATGCAATTAATTTCAAGCATTTTTGAAATGTCTACACAATGGATATAAAATATTTAAAATTAAATGTCCTTAAACTACTGCGAATTTGTAACCCCAATGAGATTTAGAATTTAAAAAATATTATTCTCTTTGACTCTATTCGAACTCGAAAATCAATTTTAAAATTCCACCATATTGAATCGCCATATTAGATCCGCCATTTTAAATTTTTAAATTCTAGTTAGATTCCAAACTCCTTTAAGTCGAATCGCTTCAATTTTAAAATTATCTGCCATATTGGGTCCGCCATTTTGAATATTTAAAAACTGACATCAAATTCGTAATCAGTGACCCCAAAAACCCCCGGGTAGTGAATTTTAAGAGAATCTGATCAATTTTTGTAATCGCCATTTGAATTTTTTCAAAATTTATTTCTAATTTGAATTCAGATATTCCAAAAATATTTTAGTATTCCTATCGAGTGTCATCAAATTTAATTAAGTTCGGAATTTTTTATAGGTCAACAATGATAATATTAATGAGGTTAATTTTTGTTAGTTGACGTAGATGGATATTAAAAGATTTTTTTCCAAATAAGTAACAAACTGATTAAAATTATTTTAATAAATGTACATAAGCATTTATTGTAAATGGACAATGGACTACAAATAGACATTTGACTATTTATTAGAAAAATTTTTCATAGATTTAATGAAAAAAATTTCATATATATTATTATATATATAATTAGACGAAAAGTAGAAGAATGAGGTTTACATAGAGGAAATACATGAAGGAAAGGACAATTCTATCAGGAGAACGCTCACAAGGTTTTGCACCCTCAATAAATCTTGTATGTAATAAGAAAAAGGGCGCTCCCCTAACCGCATGGAACATGTCAAAGCAATGAGCACATGTTGCACAATATAAACTCAAAGAACTCAAATATAACCTCAATATTCAGAATTTCAAAGACGTACTTTCTTTTGTTCTTTTTTGAATATATTTGAACAATATACTAAAAAAGAAAATGAAAAAAGAATTTATGATGTTATAACAAAATTGTGCAATAAACAGCAGGGGAGTAGGTGGTGAAGCAATACACTTTTCATTATTTCAAAAAATTGTTCAATTCAGATTTAATTTCGAGTTGTGTTACGATATGTCAAGAACATAACTCAACTTTTGTTAAGGTGTAATTTGTTAAAAGATTAAATCTCAAAAACATAGTCAAATATATATATTATGACCATAAAATTACATTTTGAAATAATTGTCAGAAGTCTTCTGACATATGTTACTTTTTATAAGATCTTATCTTAAATGGAATTATTAAATATCTTTTTATTGTCACTAAAGGATTTGTCAGATCCTGCGAGACGGATTAGATATTATTCATCAATATTCTATGTACCGTCCAGCAAGAAATAGAAAGACTAATATCGAACCAACGTCGAAGAAGTTGAGAAGAGATTTTTTTACCATTATTAAATTTAATATTTAATCAAATTATATTAACATAATCTATATTCAAATTTCCAGAAGAAAAATTAAATTATAATGAGAGTGACTGCTCTGCTGACAGCAATTCAATATTTTGAACTTGGCTGACGAGCAGAAACATTGTTGTCAATGTCAAGGAAATTGACGAATATGGTAATGTTAACGATCAATTATTTGTACTTAAAACTCCCAGTGATCAAACTTTTTTACAGAAAACTAAAGAAGATGATGAAAACAATACCGACAACGAAGAAGAAACAATGGAAGATGTGATCCCTAGAACATTATTTTGTCTACAAGGTAGCACATAATGATAATTTATTTATTTGTTTATACACCTCTTTTATGCCTTATAAAGAACTTGGCTATACAAGTGTTTTTAAATTTTAGTTAAACGGTTAATTCCTAGCCAAATCAATAAATTATTACATTTTAAAGGTTAATCAATGAATTTCATCACTTCTCTGGTATCGACATCATCATAAGGTAACTAACCCTAATAAAATTTTGAGGCTTCGATTAATCAATAAAATAAGGATTGGTGTGTTTAAGTTAATAAATCTGATTCATAACACTGCCCAAGACTACAAAGTTTTAGAAGAGCCCCTGGTAATAAACTCTAAACGATTAACTCTCTTATTCACAAATTAATAAAAATAATAAAAGTTACTAATAATAAAAGTTAATAAATAATAAAAGTTAAATAATAAAAGTTATCCGAAAGTCGGCTAAACCGACTTTCGGTTTAGCCGTAGGAGTGAAATATTTAGTAAAAGTTTCAAAGTAAAGTAATAAGGAAAGAAAAACAATATTTATATATGAGTAGAATTAATAAAGTACCATAAGAGAGAATAAGAAAAAAGATAAAGCATCATAAATCCAAAGGGTAGAATACTAAAACGTGACTCAAGAAGTCAACCCGACTATATGTTCTAAAACCGTTTTTAGAACATGAAACGTTTTCAAAATTTTAATTTTGCAGACATGAAACGTTTTCGGAACGTTCCTCGAATGCGAATGGTTATTTTGCCCACTGAAGTATTTTTTCAAGATGGTAGGAAAACTCTTTCTCTACAATGAATAATAGACAAGAAAGAAGGGGATTGACTACCTTCAATAATTTCGTTATATAAAGGGCAATGTGTGGACTAAGAAGACAAACTAGGAATTCTTTCCAAATTTATAGGGGAATTTTAATAAACTTATCCTAGATAGCAATTTTATCTTTAACATTAATATATCTTTAAATTTTTTAATTAATGGAAAAAGGCAAATTACATAGAAATATCAAATAGAAAAAATATTCCACAATCTCCGACTGGGACGTGTACTAGAACAAAGACTTCTACATTTACTTAAGGGCCATAACGTGAAGCTGAGAGGTTGCAGCGTTGGAGAACTGCACTAGAGATGGCCGACATTGATTATGCACACGTGTCTTATCTCTGGCTTAGAGACAATATCTTTTTTCTAATAAAACATAATAAGTTTACAAGGCAAATTTTCGCAGGTATATCGATTTAAGAGAAATCTTTCAAGTTTTTTTTGCAGGGGAAGTCTTCTGATATCAAAAAGCAGACAAATGGGGGAATATGACTAAATATATGAAATAAGAGAATAATTAAAATCGAAAAATTTCAGTGGCCAAGAAATACCAAAAAGCTGGTAAAAACTTCAAAAATCAAAGTCTATTAATTGAAAATGATTTTTTTCTTTTATTAGATATATAATGTTGGCTTTCATTTCCGGTACCGTTGAGTTGTGCACGCGTTTGGATAAAGGTCGGTGGATGGCGTAAAATGGTGCTTGAGTGAGAATAAGGGTCAATTTGGAAAAGCTTGGCTGATAGTAGAATTTTTGTGAATAGGGTAGTGAAAGGTAAGGATGAAAATATATAGATGAGGTTATTGTAATGGATGGCGATTAGTTGCAAGAAGGTTCTAAATAAATAATGGGGTGGGCGTTTGGGGACATAAAGTCACTGTGGACAAAAGCAACTGCAAACGGAAGCTCTGGCACTGGCGAATGTTTGAGAGGTTGAGAGAGATGAAAATAACTTTAAAGGTGTGTTATTTGTAAATAGATTGTAAGAATTATTTATGTTTGTTTATAAGTTTTGTAGGTGGATTCTCGAACCCTGTGGTGCGCAGGGAGAGTAGATGAATTATTAATAATTGTTAATATCGATTTTTTAATTTAAAAAAAATGTTTCTGGTAAAATCATTGAAAAAAAGAAGAAATATTGTCAAATGGAGGAAACACCATCTGCATTTGTTGTAAATTAGAAAGAAATATTTCAACATAGTATTTAAACCTGGATATAATCAAAAGTTGTTTACATGATGAAAATGTTGAAGAAAATAATCGAAGCTTATCAAACTTGTTTTGCACATAATGTTGGGGTGCGCGTCGGAATTTGAACGAGGTTTAGACCGATCAATAACTCGGCGGTATTAAAGCACGTTTAATATTGGCTAAATCCGAGAGCAAATAAAAGTCAATGACACTAATTTCTATCCAGATCAGATATTTAAATTAAACTCAATATCCAATCTTGTTTGTGATTATTGTGAATTAGACTATTTAATCTCTGTTTAAATCTACTTAAATCTTGTGAAGAATCGTTAAATACGGTGTAATCTTCTTGCGTATGTTTTAGAGACTGCAAGTGAGCAGTATGAAGGAGCCAATTATACTGTTACCTTAACTTTAAAATTTCAGAGATGAAGGGATAAAATTTGTTATTTTAAAAATCTGGTCATAATTTTAATGGTAATTTTGTCTAAAAGTGGAAAATTACGAAAGGTTGACTGGAAAAATATTTCTAAGATTTAGGGACATCCTAATTTCTGGATTCGCCTATAGAACGTCCGTAGGTTATCCTGAAATATGGAGTGAAAGAAAGGTAAAAATGAGTAGGGAATATATGTGGGTGAATAGAGTAAAATGGTGGCCTTGGCTACACTAAAATATGTTATTCACTCTTTTGAAAAATTGAAATTTTTATTATTAGTGACGTTTTAAAATGTAATATCCAGGAGGCAAAATCAACGTTTTTGACATATATGCATTTTTCACATATCATCGCTGTCAAAAAGCTGTCGATACCATCCGGAAGATTTGCGACGTGAATGAGAAAGGTGTCAGGTCGAAAACAATGCCGAAGAATACATAGTTGATTAATTTCTGTTTTTGAATCATTAAAAACCATATAGTAGGAACGAAACGTTACCAACTCATTCGCCAATCCCATATGTATATATTATATTTTATATAACAGGAGTATAATTTCCACGGTTTCTGATACGCGATTCACTGACTTCCAAGTGTTTATTGGTGGAAAGTTTGTTACCGTCCTAGACCGAGAAAGATACTTTGACGCCCTATGCGCAAGTGGACTAGCATCACAGTTACTTTAGATCTATGGTATGTTTGACTAATGTGTTTAGTGTTAACTCTGAATTGCACAATAGGTCTTGTGCTTTGCAACTATACATCGTTTATTGTCGCATTTCCCCTTGCATAAACATATTTTATACCCTTGCCCACTAGTCAAGGATTGCGAAGTGACAATTTCGCGTAAGGATGGTTCTACGTCTGGAACTTCAGCAGAAGATAAAAATTGTTGTCTACACACTATAAACTGATTCCCGCTGTAATGTTGTTTCAAACGTCCTTAACCTAACAAGTACTGGTCATTATTAACCGATAAAACGGTGGCGAGTAAATTTCGAGAGTCAGTTCTACCACAGTCCACATTAGGAAGGGGCACTTTAACTTCTAATCCTTCTTCGTATTGAAGATAGTTGATTGAGTCATCAGGAAGATTGGATGTTTTTATTCCTAATTTCATTTGCGAACCAAATAATGCTTCGTACGGACTTTTAATACCATCGTGCTAAGATAAATTTTTCATCCTTTGCACATATTTTAATTCTTCCGACCACTTGGTTGTTTTCTTCGTTTTCATCAAAATAGCAAGAATTTGTTGAACATCCTGGTTAGCCCGCTCTACAGAATCTAGGCTTTGTGAATGCCTTGATTTTCCGTGCACTAGTTTTATACCATCCGACAAATTTGTCAATTTGACTATCACCTTATTTACAAACTTCCATCCATTGTCACTGTGAAGTATAGAGGGTACACCGAAGATTGTAAAAATATCCATAAGGTTGCTTGCTTTTTCCAAAGCTGTTCTTGTTTTTAGAGGACGTAACATTACAAATTTTCTCAACTGATCCTGGTAATTTAGAATAAACGTATATTTGCCGTCTGCTTGTGTTTGAAGATCAATTAGATCAACTTGTCATCTTGAATAGACGATAAGATTTTTTGTAGAGGCACATGCGACGTACTTGTGAAGGTTTTGGTCAGCATAAGAACTTTAAAGGGTTTTTCAAAAGACCTTTACAGGGATTTTTAGATAGGACTCCGCAGATTGCGATAATTGAGGTTGTTCTTTGTTAAGTGCTGTTAATACTCAGATGGGTGACCAAGGCAAGACTCCTGCTATATCTCGGTATTTTTTGAAAGTTTCGAGAAACACTGGAACCCCCGAACTTTAGACTGCTCGGTACTGGTGTCTAAAGTTCGGAGTGGACACTTTGACGCCGAAAAGTATAAACACTCAGGGCTATACTACTGCTGCTTACCTGAAATCCTCTATTACTTTCCCTCAACCCCTCTCCCTGCCTCGCCCATACTTGATACTAATGCTCGGAAGTACAGTTCGGGAGTTTTAGTAGTGTATATTAAGCATATCCCGCATATGCTAATTTTGGTATTCTTGGTAAAAGCCAATTTTCATGGTAAGATCATCTTAGGTTAGACCTTTTCTTGAGGAAAAACTGCTCTGGTTCTACAATCTGTGATGAGCCGGTTTATATAGCCTACCGACTAGAGCTAGGCGGGGGGTCCAGGGACTAACTGGCTTTCGCCTGTTGGAGAGGCGACGCGTGCGTTATATCGTCTTGGGGGGTTGCCAGGACTGTAACAGCAATATTCGTGCCTGTTACTTCTAATAAATTTTAAACATTACATTAATTGTTTATGGTTATGGTCATTAGAAGCCGGTGCTGTAGAGTAAATCTGGCAGCTATGTTGAGCTGTCTGGCGCCTCTCTAATGATCTTCGACTTTTGAATAATCCTGTGGGCTCTTCTACTATGAATTCTAATGATTACCGTAATTAACTCTTCTCATAATTGATGAATTCCCGACTTAATTGGTAAAGTAAAAAACTTGAAACTTATAACAACTCAAAACACTTTTTAATAATGTTCAAGTTTCTATCGAAGCTATGTTTTTGGGAGCTTTGTACAACCTTCTTCAGAAACTACCCAGATTTTTTCGATACGATTATTTAAAAAGAGCCCTCCTATAGGGTCACTCACCTGCCTAATACAGGGACCAAGCACATGCGCCTAAATTAGTCAATAGAAAAAAACCGACCCAGAAGTAATCGTCACTAAGTTAACTAGTTGTGTACTGTCCCCAAGTGTCTTCTTCGCCTTGAGTTTAGGAAACGCCTTCAACTTAGTTACTCAACAAGTCACCACAGAATCAACTTCGCGTCTTCTTCGTGTCAGTCCAGGAATCGCTACCAAGTTAACTAGTTGCGTACTGCCCTCAAGTGTCTTCTTCGGGTTTTCAGCCCAGAAAACGCCCAAGTTATTTAGTCCAAAAGCTGCCACCGAATCAACTTCGCGTCTTCTTCGCGTCAGTCAAACAATCTTGACCAAGTTAACTAGCTGTGTACTGTCATCGAATTCGTTCTTCGACTCCAGTCCAGAAAATCTCTTCAAATACCAAGACTCTTTGAGAGTCTCTTCTTAGTCAAGTTCATTCAAGGAGATAATTTCTACTACGAGGTATGTTTCTATTTTTCTAAGGACTGTATCATTTCGACATCAACGTCGAATCAATAATTCGGTCACTCCTGGGCTGAAGGGTGTTTTTTCTCTATTACATCGATACTGGACTCCGAACCTTTCACTTTGGCTGGCCCGAAAACAATTTGAGGGAAATCTACTGCATTCTCTGTTTTCGCAAGACAAAGTCATTTATTCGACCTCACACTGAGGGAGATATCGCTTGTTGGGTCTACGATTCTATGACTATGAATAATTTTAAAAGGTAAGTAACTAATACTTTATGTTCTCATTTCAATTCTTGATTGATTCCACAAGTTCTAATTTTGTTTCAGTGTCCCTGAAGACTTCTGGATCTACTCTTTCCCTCTTATTCTAATTCTAATTGTAAAGAATTCAAACAAAAGCTTTAATAATTTAAGTTCAATATAACAGTTACTCTTTATTGAAACCTGTCCCATAATATTAATATTATTATCTTAATAGATAAAAGTTAATATCAGAATTTTGCGCCCTGTGAATAAATCAGGTGTGAATCACCGATGCCGCACAATTTAAATATATATATAATTTGGGATATATTTAGTTTCGTTCTGAGACATAACACTTATTTTATTCTTTGTAAAATTAAACACATATACTTTGAGAATATTATTATTAAAAAGTTTCATCTTCAATAGTTTCGAAAAAAATAAATTTTTGAAAAACTGTAATTTCCAGGTGTTCAGGCAAATTTTAACAAAATCCAACCGCTAGGTTTCCCGAAGCATGAAAGGGTTAATATATTCTACTCAAGTAGAACGTAATATTATGTAAAGTAATATTAAAATGTCTTTCTCAAGGTAATATTACTGCCGTGCAAAACTCAAATACCGTAACTTCCATCTAAGCAACTTTTCAAGAATACCGAAAATGGGATTTTGCATTTGGGTTACAACTAAAATTTCATCACATTGTGGGTAACAACTATTATTTCTGGGATAAATGGAACCATTATTTTTATTTTTTGACAAAAGTTTAATGATTTAAATTCGGTTTAAAATTAAAGTTACTGAATTTTTTAAGTAAACTTGTTCAAGGAGTACTTAAGGCATCACAAATTTTTGGCACTAATTGCTTATTAAATCTAATATTACAATATCAGTTAAGAATCACATTTGGATCAATTTTTTAAGGTTTTAATAATAACAAAATGAAATCAATTAAGATAAAATAAAGATATATTTAACAATTTAAATCTTTTAAAGAGTTATTCGAATGAACTTCATATCTTTTAAAATTATCTACGAATAGTTACAAGAAAATATATTCTTTAATGAGTTTCACAAATAAAAATACTTTAAAAATAACTTTTTCTTTTCTGTTTAGAATTAAATTTTTGAAAATTTCGAAAGCAATTTTCAAAATGAAATAGAGCGAAATAATTTTGATTGCAAGTAAAAGTTATTGATGGATTCTTATACACACTACCGACTATTAATCAGGAGGGTTTGTTCCGCAAGGTTTGGTTGAATATTAAACCACCATCAAAAGGGTTGAACCATTCACATCGTCTCCTGGGGGCCAAGCAGAATTTAAAGGGTCTTTCTGTCGTGTTTTCAAACCTATAAGCATCGTCGATTTTTTTTTCGCAAAAATATTGTATGCTACAGAATCAGAAGTGAAAACTCCATTATAAGACTTCCCTTTTCCACTTATCTTTTGACAAAAGAGTCGATGAGTTTATGCATAAAGCTCGTTTTTTACCATCGTTTTATCCTCGATTTTATCATTATTTAAACATCTATTGATTTCATCTTTACAATTTTAACTCTTTTAAATAATAGGTATGTACGAACCAATAGAAAGCATCAATTGGAATTTCGCGTTAAGAACATTTTTCTCCAAAACAAAATAAGTATAGGTATAGTATATATTGAAGTTGCTGCTTTTGAAAAAGTTTTTCATTTATTTTCAACAAAACGTTTTATTTATTTTCTGTCATGACACAATGTGACATGATATGAAAAGTTTATCTTTAGTTTAAATTCCAAATTTAAAGTGTATATTGAAAATTGTTACATTGGTGGTTATAAGTAGTTTTACTTTATGAGTATAATATTGGCTATTTTGCGAAGAATTGTTGAAAGAGGTTAGTCAATGGTTATTGCTAAAGATTATTTTTGAAAAAATTTCCTCTTTCATAGTTATGATTTTAAAAACAACAAAAATATTAATTTTTGAGATAAGTTAAAAAAGTAATTAAACTTTTGAATTTTTAATTGATGCGTATTTTTGTATTAATAACATTTTTAACATATTGTTTGACATTTCTGTTTAACTCTGTTATTAGTACAGAATTGAGGATAACCATCATTATGGCTGACGATAAAATACAATCATTGGGATTGGTTGTTCGTGCTCTTCGAAAACTTGCAGAAAATCATAAACCAACTCCAAAGCAAATTTTAAATTTTATGGCTCAAAATTATAATATACCGAAGGAAAGAATTAAAAGACAGGTAATTTTTACTTTATTATTAAAAGTTATTATACAGTGAAAAATAAATAAAATGGAAATGATATAAAAAACTAATTAAACAATAAAATTTTTTCTCAAATTGAAATGATGATTAACCTAAAAGTTATAATTCATTATGATAAACGATTAAATAATGCGCTTTAGTATGAAATTATTAATAATATTAAAATTTATTCTAATGTCAATTTGTCTAATTCGAATATAGGCTAATATTTAATATTCAATTACCTAATATTATTATAATTTGATTGAAATAAAAAGTAATTTGTTAAAATATATTAAATCTTTATTACTTTATTTTTATTTATTTATTAATTTTATTTGACAATAAAAATTAAATTGTGTATTTAAAGTCGACGTACATGTAAAGATAATTATTTCAAAACTTTACTTTAAAGCCTTTTCTCGAAATTAAAAAATAAATTTAGAAAAACTGTCAAGAAATTATATTTATATTTAATAAATAAATAAATAAATAGTTTCAGATTTATAAAATTTTTTAAAAATTCAACTTTAATAACATTCTTCAAAACAATTCAATTATTTTCATACATAAAATAAAATTCTTCACAGGAATTAAATTATTTTCAATATTTTATTTCAAATAAAATTTCTCGAAAGAATTTAATTATTTTCAAAAATTTTAATAAAATCCTAAGCAGAAAAATTATTATAAAATGTTATATTTATAAAACAGAAAGAATTTCACATACAAAATTGTGAAAAATAAATTAATTTATAAAATTTTTTTTGCAATAATATTACCACAAAACTTATTCTCTAAATTAAAATTAGTAAATACTTTAATTAATTAGAAACTTTTGTATTCTTTTGTTTTTTTTTTCTTTAAAAAAAATTTGTTTTGACAAATCGAAAATATGCAGGTATTTTTTCATGATTCATAATAAAATAATAGTATTAGAAATTTGAAAATTTAAAAAAAAATGATAATTAAAAAATGAAAAATTTACCCATTTTGTTTATTATATGCTTTTTTTATAACAAATTTCGTTTGACTGATCCAAATTATGCAAATTTTTCTCTTCTTTATTTATAAAAAATTATTATTAAGAAATAGTAAATAAATACCCAATTTATGCATAATTTTTATTTCTCAATAACAATATTGTTCACAAACTCATTCTTTTATTTTGGGAAAAGAAAAACATTACATATTCCTGTTTCTTAATATTTTTTGTAGAAAATTTTCAATTTTCATAAGGGAATAATAATTTACATTATTTCAATTTTTTAATTACAATATTGTTTTAATAAAATTCAAAGTTTAAAAAAAATAAATAAAACAAATGTTTATAAATTCTATTTGTCAATTAGAAATTTTCATTTTTGATGAAAATTTTTGAATTTTTAGAAAATAAAGGAAGAAATAATACTAAAAAAATGTTCCGTTACATTTTTACGAATTTCTTTAATTTAATTATTTTTGACAATAATTAAATGTTTGTGTACAATTTTATTAAATTTTTTTTTAAATAATTGAATTTTTTCTCGAAAAATTTTATTAAAATAGTAGATATTGAAAATAATTGAAATTAGGACAAGAATTTTATTGTCATTTTTGAAAATAATATTGAACTTTGGGGAAAAATTTTGTTATTTAAAAAGAGAATTTTTTTTTTTAAATTTTAAACATAATTGAATTTTATGAGATGAATTTTATTACATTTGAAAATAATTGAATTTCTGCAATAAATTATTTGCAATTTCTCCAAAATTGAATTATTTTATAGTGCTTTCAACAAAAATTTGAATAAAAAAATTTTTTTTTTAAATTTGAAATTCTAAAAACAAATGATTTATTTTTTAACAGTTGGGCTCAATATTGAAACGATGTAAAGAATTTGGAATTTTGAAGAGGACGTTTGGACATAAAACACCTGTAATCGATAAACCGGCTTGTTGTGACTGTAAAGATTGCGTTGGAAATTGTGGATATTGCAGCAAGAAGGATAAAGGTGCAATGTCTCGTGGCAAAGATAAAAGAAAAATGTGTAAAGGATCAAGGCGAAAAACAATGAAACGTCAATCATGCAAAACAAAATCACGGAAGTCAAAGGGTTCGAGAAGAAGTTGTTGAATGAGGAAAATAATGAAACTGTCTAATCATTAAAATTCCCTACTGTGTATTGTAAATCACATCATTGACGCATATCTCGCATAATATGTAAAAAAAAAATAATACTCTTTGCAAAATTTTGTCAATTAGTGAATCTGTTTTACATTTAAAACGAATAAATCTAAAAATTCAATTAATTTTATAAATAATAAATGGAATTCGGAGAAGTTTCAAGAATAAATTGTGTGCGTAAATATTTGTGAATAAATTTCCTTTAGGTTCGTCAGAAAACCCTCGAGATTCAATTTTGCATCTTGTTTGCATTAGAGTTTGAATAGGGAAGTGTTGACATTTGAATTTATGTATAGTGAAAAATCGATTGGAAGCTAGGCGGCTGAAAAACTTACCGAGACTATAACGCCAGAGATCTTTCAGTGGAAGATTACCATTTCGACCACCTAGAAGATAAACGTGACCTCCAAGGAGGGTTGCACTATGTTTACTTCGAGATGGTGGTGCAGGTCCATTTTCCACACCGGCTGCTGTAACCGAGCTCCACATTTTTTATCTGTAACATAAAATGTAAATTTTATGTTTTTAATGCCAATTTATTTGGACCCTATACGTTTAAAAAAGTTGAAATCATTAACCCCAGACTCTCTGTCATAGAATTTTTTTTGTTTAGTTCAATAATTTTCTGTAAATGTTCAACATAGTGTGTCCGCTATTATAAATTTATAAATTATTAATTCAATATTTTTGGAAGCCATAAAATTATATAAATAAAAGATGTTTTGATTTATAAATTATTATAATTATTTGGTAAATTAAACAATTTTATATTTTCAAGAATAAACATCAATTTTTGAATAATTAAAGATTTAAAAATTTGAAGAATTCACTTATTAAGTACATAATATTAAATATTCTTGTTTAATATTATTCAAGAATTTTAATTAAATTTTCCGCAAGAATTTCCTTATTCTCATAAAATAATAAAATTCTTGAGAGAAATTTAATTATTTTCAATACTATTTTAATAATCTTTCTCAAAAGAATAAATTACTTTTAAAAATATTAATTATAAATTCGATTATTTTCAAAAAAATTTTGATAAAATTCTTTTTAAAAAATCACTACTTTTCAACAATTTTTAATAGAATTCCTTCAAAAAACTGAATTATTTTTAAAAATTCAGAAAAAAATCTTCGAAACAATTCAATTATATTTATGAATTGTGAAATCCTCCACAAAAATTTAATTATTTTTATAAATAAGAAAATTCTTCGCAAGAATTAAAATATTTTCATAAATAATACAATTCTACAATAAGGAATCCAATTATTATTCATAAAAATAATAAAATTCTACAAAGGAATTCAATTATTTTCATAAAAAATAAAATGTTTCGAAGAAATTCAATTATTTTCAATAGAATTTTCATAAAAATGTCTCGAAAGAATAAATTACTTTTAAAAATATTAATTAAATTCGATTCTTTTCAACAATTTTGATAAAATTCTTTTTAAAAAATCACTACTTTTCAACAATTTTTAATAAAATTCCTTCAAAAAATTGAATTATTTTCAAAAATTCAGAAAAAAATCTTCGAAACAATTCAATTATATTTATGAATTGTGAAATCCTCCACAAAAATTTAATTATTTTTATAAATATAAGAAAATTCTTCGCAAGAATTAAAATATTTTCATAAATAATACAATTCTACAATAAGGAATCCAATTATTATTATTCATAAAAATAATAAAATTCTACAAAGTAATTCAATTATTTTCAATAAAATTTTCATAAAAATTTCTCGAAAGAATAAATTACTTTTAAAAATATTAATTAAATTCGATTATTTTCAACAATTTTGATAAAATTCTTTTTAAAAATCATTATTTTCAACAATTTTTAATAAAATCCCTTCAAAAAATTCAATTATTTTCAAAAATTCAGAAAAAATTCTACGATACAATTTAATTATTTTTATGAATTGTAAAATTCTCCACAAGAATTTAATTATTTTCATAAATAAGAAGATTCTTCGCAAGAATTCAATTATTTTCAGAAATATTAAAATTCTATAAAAGAATTCAATTATTTTCATAAATAATAAAATTCTACAAAGGAATTCAATTATTTTCATAAAAAATAAAATGTTTTGGAGGAATTTCTCGAAAGAATACAATTATTTTTAAAAATATTATTTAAATTCAATTGTTTTCGGCTTCCGTTTCCGGTACCGTTTCGGTGTACACGCGTTTGGAAAGAGTTAAGAGTTTTTTTGAGAAATATAAAGGTTTTAAAAAAGGGTGGGTAGTGTAGAGTGCTGAGTGTGTAGTGTAATTTGCGGTAGTGTAAAGGAAAGGTATGTTGGTATAGAGTAGTGAATGTGTCAGTGATAAAAAGGTAAAAAAGAGAAGTGTGTTTTGTGAGGTTAGGTGGCTTGAAGTGAGAGAGAGGAGGGAGAGACAGTGGAAAAATTTTGAGCATTTGAGTGATAAGGTAGATTTCTGGAATGGCTGAGTTTGACTCAAGTAGTGTTAGCGAGAATGAGAAAAAGGCGCGGGTATTTGAAAGGGGAATAGGAAAGAATGGAAAAAAGATGACGTGTGAGGATTGCATGGATTTGTTAGAATTAGTATGGATGATGAAGGACGCGATGGATGAAGGATCGAAGAGAGTAAGGGAAAATTTGATGGATATATGTGAGGATGGGGAATCAAGGGACAAAGAGATAGTGGAAATTGAAGAGAGGTTGGAGAAATTGCAGGAAATGTGGAATGAATGGGATAGTAAGTGGAAAAAGGATAAGGAAAGCATGTGGAGAAGAATGAATGGATTAGAAAAATTTATAAAGGAAGTGAATGAGGGGACTGAGAAAGTTGAGGGAAGTGAATATGAGAGGTTAAAGTGGAAAATGGGAGATTTGTCAAGACGAGTGGATGTAGTAGAAAATGAAAAAAGGAAAAAAAATGTAGTGATCAGAGGTATGAAAGTAGGTGTGTTGGAGGGTAAAAGAGCAGTGGAAAAAGTGTTGGCGTGGGTGGGGGTTAATGTCACAGTGAAAATGGTACAAGCGATAGGAAGGGGTGAATATGGGGTTCCAAAGTTATGGTTGGTGGAGTTGGGTAGTGAGGAAGAGAAAATGGATGTAATGAGGGTGAAAGGAAGACTGAAAGGAAGTGTAATAAGAATAGATGAGGATAGATGTTGGAGAGAGAGAAGAATGCTATGGCTATTGAGAGAAAGAGCGTGGACGGAGAGAGTGAAAGGAAAACAGGTAAGAATGGGAAAGGATTGGATTTGGGTGGATGGGGTAAAGTATGTTGTGGGGGAGGATATGGGTGGAGTGATGGAAGTGTGTAAAGTGTGATAGACAGGTATAGGCTGAGAATGAGGTGAGAAGATTTTGCTTGGATGGATGGATGGATAAAAGTGGAGGACTGGAGCGTGTAAGGGAAGTGAGAAAGCAGGTTTTTGAAAAAAGGGTGGGCGAATTGGGTTGAAGCCAGCATGGGCATAGAAGGAACTGGAAACGGAAGCCCGGCACTGGCGATAGGCTAAGAGCGTAAGGTAGAGAGCGTGGAGAGAGTTGCGTTTTTAGGTTAAGTTGTATGAAGAGAATGTTTAGTTGTAAGGATTTTTGTAAATATAGGTTAAGATTGTTATGTATGTACTTGGGAGTCTCGAACCCTACCTATTGTAGGGAGAGTAAATAAACTATATAATTCAATTGTTTTCAAGATTTTCAATATAAAAATTCAATTATTTACAACAATTCTGATAAAAAATTCTACGAAACAATTCAATTATTTTTGAAAATTGTATAATTCTTGGCAAGAATTCAATTATTTTTGTAAATAATAAAATTATTCTGAGAAATTCAATTATTTTTATAAATTGTATAATTCATGTCAGTCAAGTATTCAATTATTTTTGTAAATAACAAAATTCTTCTAAGAAATTCAATTATTTTCAATTTACAATTTAAAAAATTTCTCGATAGCATACAATTATTTTTAAAAACTATTATTTAAATTCAATTATTTTCAAGAGGTTTAATAAAAATTCAATTATTTACAACAATTCTGATAAAAAATTCTACCTAACAATTCAATTATTTTTATAAATTGTATAATTCATGTCAAGAATTCAATTATTTTTGTAAATAATAAAATTCTTCTGAGAAATTCAATTATTTTCAATACAATTTTAATAAAATTTCTAGGAATGAATTCTAGGAATAAATTAATTTTTTTTAAAAATATTATTTAAATTCAATTATTTTCAAGAGTTTTAATAAAAATTAAATTATTTACAACAATTCTGATAAAAAATTCTACCCAACAATTAAATTACTTTTATAAATTGTATAATTCTTAGAAAGGATTCAATTATTTTTTTAATTAAATAATATATAAAATTCTTTTGAGAAATTCAATTATTTTCAATACAATTTTCAGAAAATTTCTAAGAATAAATTCAATTACATTCAAGATAATTTTAATTAAATTTCTCTAGGATGTTCAATTATTTTTAAAAATTGTAATACAATTTTTCTAAACAATTCAAATATTCTCAAAAGGTTTTAATAAATTTTTTTTTTTAATTTCAATTATTTTCAAAAATTTCAATTAAAATTACCTTAAAAAATTACATTTATTTTTACGAAATCTAATGAAATTCTTTTTAAAAAATGTATAATTATTTACAAAAAGTCTAATAAAATTAAATTTCTATAAATAATTTTAATATAATTTAATAAAATAATCGTTGATTAAAAATCAGGCGAATCTTACGTCAGAATTTCAAAATTCAAAATGGCCGATCCAATATGGCGGTCGATTTTTAAAAAATCGTCTGATTTTAATGAAATTTGTTACTCAGGGGTTGCTGATCACTAATTTGACGTGACATCATTTATGAACGCTCCCGAAGAGAAGCAAATTAGAGAAAGTTTGTTTAGAAATAATTTGACATAATATCGCGATGAGATTGCGATGCAAAAGTTGAGCATATATATACATTTCAAAATTTGTGTTGATAATCAACAAAAATCAATCGAAAATCATATATATACGATGGGGAGCTGACTAAACTGCTTCATTTAAGCCTTGAGATAACAATGAGGAAGCTGTTAGATAATAGAAAAGTAACATCACAAATATTCTTAAAGACAGTTTTTTAGATCAAATCGTTTACGCTTTTTTATTTAAAAAAATAACATTTATGTCCAAGGAGATAAAAAATCTTCAATTTTCGTGCAACCAGGAACTATCTGAGGTATAGCTAATAATTATTTCGTTTCTGGTTGCACGAAAATTGAAGATGTTTTATCACCTTAGACATAAATGTTATTTTTTTAATTAAAAAATTGTAAACGATTTGATCTAAAAAATTGTCTTTATAAGAACATTTATTTATTTGTGATGTTACTTTTCTATTATCTATAACAGTTTCCTCATTGTTATCTCAAGGCTTAAAATGAAGCAGTTTAGTCAGCTCCCCATCGTATATATATATATGATTTTCGATTGAGTTTGTCGATATTCATCGGCC